TGCTGGAAAACCCTTTCTGTGAAGAAATTCCTCCAGATGTCCAACCTGAACCTCCCTTGGCACAGCTTGAGGATGGTTGCCCGGGAGAAGATCCTGACGCCCACCCTGGCTACACCTTCCTTTCAGGCAATTGTAGAGAGCGATGAGGTCACCCCTGAGCCTCTTTTCCTCCAGGCTAAACATCCTCAGCCGCTCCTCCAGACCCTTTACAGGTTTTATTGCCCTTCTCTGGACATGCTCCAGCCCCTCCATGTCCTTCCCTAATTAAGGGGCCCAGAACAGGACACAGCACTGGAGGTGTGGCCTCACCAGTGCCCAGCACAGGAGGACAGTCACTGCTCTGGTCCTGCTGGCCATGATATTTCTGATCCACACCAGGTGTCATTGGCCTTCTTGGACACCTGAGCACAGCTGGCTCATGTTCAGCTGCTGCTGTTGTCCAGCACCCTTTTCCCTGGCCACTTTCCAGCCACTCTTCCCCTGGCTTGTAGCACTCCATGGGGTTGTTGTGGCTCAAGTGCAGGACCCAGAGACAAGGCCATCCTGTTGGCCTTGTCTCATCCCTCCAGCATGTCCAGATCCCTCTGCAAGGGCCTCCTCCCTCCAGCAGTTCAACACTCCAGCCCAACCTAGTGTTGGCTGTGGACTTCTTGAGGATAACTTTGATCCCCTCATCCAGATCATCAATAAAGATATTAAAGAGGGTTGGCCCTTAACAGTGCTCCCTAATGACTGTCCCCAGCTGGATGTGACACCATTCCCACCACTCTGGGCCCAGCCATCCAGCCAGTTCTTACCCAGCAAAGAGAGCACATGTCCAAGCCATGGGCTGCCAGCTTTCCCAGGGGAACGTTTGGGAGACATTATCAAAGGCTCTGCTGAAGTGTTTGTTTGCAAGTAATTGTATTTCTCACAATCTGATTTTTTAATAATTTTGGAGTTTTTTTATAACTTTGGAGTTACTTTCCCTTAGGGCTGATTGATTTAGAGCTGTATAAAATCCAGATTGTTTACGTATATAATATATTTTATATATAATAATGTATATAATTTGGATTTCTTCTGTGCTTAATATAGCTACAGCTACTCTTAGATAGGTATTAGTGTATTCCTAAAATTTAGCCTTTACAGTACGTAATAGCAGTTGGGGATCTCTTTTGGACATATTCTTTTTGTCTCAAAAATGAATAATTAAAGGAACTTGATTGGAAAATTGAAATTCTGTCTTCAGCCCGCTGAAGGTTATGAAAAGATACATACTTGATGTATAATGGGGAAGATGTCTCTGTCAGTCATGCAATAAAACTTCTGAATGTCCTCTTTATCAACTTTTAAATGTTATTAATCCAGATGATCTGTGAGTAATGCAACCAGAGAAGTCGAGACAACAAAAGTCTTCTGCTGTTGAAGATGCCTTTGAGTTGCTATTTTGTATTGACTCAGAAGTGGCAGAAGGGAATTGTTAGAGTGTGTCCAGAGTAGGGTGATGAAGATGATGAAGGACCTTGAGGGCAAGATGTGGAAGATGCCACTGAAGTCACTTGGTTTGCTCAGCTTGGAGAAGAGAAGGTGAGGGGTGCCCTCATGGCAGCCTACACCTCCCTCACTTTATTAAAGGGGAGACTTGAGGGTCGTGCCTTTAGGTGTGCAGAAAAGTGCTCAGAAATGTAAAAATCGTGGTTTTCCCCAAACTGGACTGATTTTTAGCTTCTTGCACTGGCATATTGGAAATGTTTCTCATTATTGGTAACAGAAAGGTCCCTCATCAATGATGGCTGTTGTGATGAGGTAATTGCTAGATGGGTTTTAGGACTGTTGGAGGTGGTGGTGCATCAACAGGCTGAAATATGAAAGAACAACAGGTGGTCTAGAGGCAGGAGGAGCAGCTACTGGTGTGAGCAAGCAGTGGCTCAGTGCACAGTGCACGCTGTGGGGAGTTCTCCTTGTGGCTTTCCTGTTGATTTGAATTGGTTGTCTCCTCTTTCATCAAGTGTGTTCAGCTGTTGATAGATGGAGGAGTGAAATGCTTTCCTGCCTGCCCTTTTTTTCCATGATGCAGTCTTGGTTTGCACAGTTTTTGGTTGGGAGCTGTAGTGGCTGATGCCATCCTAACAACTCTCAAGCAAAGAGTATGCCCTTCAGTTTAGACTCCATTTATTGTGCCTGTCTGGTTACTACCAGGATGTTGAATTTATGGCAGTTTGAAACAGATACTGACAGTCAATATCTTTCCATAGGCATAGAATAAAAGAAAATCTGCTGCAGTGGAATGCTGGCATCATACAGAGGTTGCAGAATATTGTGTAATTTTCTTCAGGCTTCAGTAACTCCAAAGCTTTACTTCATTAATGGACATGAGCAGAGAAATTGGCAGTTGGTAGGGAATGGAAGGAGCAAGACCTGAAGGACTAGAATTAAGCAGTGGCTAGAGGATATTTTTGTTGGGTGTTTTATCTTCTTTGCAATGTTTTACTTTTCATCAATATGGAGTAACATCAGTGCTTTTTCCAGGTTTATGTTGTGTCTCTGCTCGTAATCATTCTCATTAAACCAACGTGTGAAGAAATGTTTGAGGAATGGTGCAGTCTGTGCAAGGACTGATGTTGTCAGGTTTTACTGTTTTAGAAAAGAAGAAAACATTGGCTTGCTCGATTCCCCTTTAGAACTCGTGCTAGACTAGTTCTAGGACTAAATGCTAGAAGAAATCCCACATGAAGGCTTTGCCATCACTTCTCAGTTCTGAGGTGAAACAAGACATTTCGAGGTGTAACAGGCTGGGTAATGATGATTTCACCAGCAGAGATATTTAAGCTGCAAGTTGCCTAAAGCTTGGTTTTGCAAAGCACATCAGCTAGTTCTTAATTTCAAACACATGTTTGAATCCATTCTAGCTGAGCAAAATTCATCTTCTTTCCCACCTTCTGTTAAAAATCTGCCAGACTCACAGGGAAGGAAAAGCCACCAAAACACAGTCTAGAACATAATGTGCCTTCCAACATAGGGTGGAGCACATAGAGTATCAGAAACCAGGCCACACCTGTCCCCTGGTGACACATCAGCAGCCGTGGCCCAAATACAAAAGTGTCCCTTCTGTGCTGCAAACCTCTCCTGGTGGCCTCTGCAGCCTCCTGTCCAGCTTGCTGACCTTCTGGAGCAGCTCCATAAAAGTGGATTGTGCTTCCTGTTCCCCTGCTTGTCTCACATTGCCATAGGTGGCATAGCCCTGTGTCTGCCTCCCTCTGCTTTTCTCTAGATTACCTGGTGTTAACCTCTGCCAGGTGAAAGGTCTGGGGACTTCTTTGGTTGCTTGGAGGGCAGAGCTCTGTTCTGTTGCCCATCCTGGGGCTGCTTCCCTAAACCAAATTGCTTCTGGAAACTATGTTTATTCTTGCATCTCAGTGAAGGAGACACTAATGGCTGTTTTTCACCATGGCTTAATTAAACTTTTAAATGCAGGGGTAAAAGAGAAGATCTCTCGTTTGGTTTAGGTTTTCTTTCTTGGTTTTCTTGATTTTGTTTTTGGTTTTGTTTGGTTTTTTTTGTTCTTTTTTTTTAGAGAGAGATGCTGAACATAATTCCATCACATTCCTGTGGAATGCCCACAGGAACCTGAAGGAGCTGGTCTAATCATCTACTGTGGCTTGTGTGTATGGATGATGGGTGGTGTAGAAATTTAGGAGGAAAGAAAATTGTAAGAAGAAAGAAACTTAGATTTAAATAGGTGCAATGTGATCCATTTTCCTCCCTTGTGCTGTAAGGTGTCCCACTGCTGGCTCCTGTCCATGTGGGCTGATCCCAGTTGCTGCTGCTGGCTCTGCTGACCTGCGGGCTCAGGGATGGCTGGAGCCAATGCCCAGCCCATTTCATGTGTCTCAAGATCTGCTCTGCTTGCTCTTCCACACCATTATGCTGTTATTCATGGGGCTGTGGAGGAGGTTGGCATCCCCTGTGTCTGATCCAGATGTGCTGCAGCTGGAGGGAAGGGTTTAGCCCCATGTTTCTCCTCTGCTTGACTATGCAAGGGGACACAGATTGGCATGGTATCAAGTGCCAGGACTGAGTTTGGATCTATTGTCTTGACGTGGGGGAAGGGGAAAAAAAACCCCTCCACCTTAAATTTTACTCTTGAGTGAATCTTAATCTTCAAATTAGTACAAATGTTAGCATTCCCATTCTGTGGTTTTAGAATAACTGTAATCATTTCAAGAAAACAAAGCCTAGGAACATTATGGTGTTGAATGCAGAGTAAACTGGTGTTTGAAATGATGTGTTGTGCATCTGCACATGTCATTAAAAGAGTTTAATGTCCTAATTTGTTTTGGATCTTGCCCCCCTCTCCTCTTGTTCATCCCTGTTTTATTTTCTCCCTTTTGTGCCTGTAATTGCGTGTGTTATTAGAGCTGGCAGGATGAGCACCTCCAGATGCATCCTACAGGAACGCAGCCAGTGCTGACTCTATTCCCACGTCAGACTGCATGCCAAGCCGCTGAAGCCTGCTTGTCAAATCCCATACCCTTTCTGCACTGCTTCAAACCCATCTTCTCACACAATATTTTGACACGGGGTGACTCATGGCAACCTCAAGAGTTGTCCCAGGCTTATGAATGTATCTTTCAGTATGTTGAGACATCCCTGGTAAAAGCAGGATTTTGGAATAGCGTGGCCTAGGCAGCTTTCCTTATTCTTCTGGCAGATGATGCGAGTTGAGGGGTTTAAAATCTGTTCTGTTGAACCTTTCACTGGGTTTCATGTCTGGGATTTTTTTTTTTTTTTGTGGTAAACTTTCTCTGAATTTTTAGGCACTCTGAAATAAACAACAAAAAAATTCACTTGTTTCACCAAATTTAATGCATTTTGTGTTGTGATTTGTGCAGCAAGATAGCAACTCTTCATTTTGGGGAAGAATATACTCATTTTACTTATTCTTTCACAGGTATCAGGCAACAGCATATCAATGATGCTCCTTCTATGGGATCTTTTCCTAACTGGAGATCTATACTATCACCAACACGGCCTTCCACAGAAACTAAGACTCCCTCAGCAGCTGATATTTCTCTGGGACAGACTTTGGAGAATGCAGACTTGCTTCAGATGATAAAAACAACGCTGACTGGCGCACGTACCAGGACTTTGGATCAGATGCACCTGTCACCCTCCCTCTATCAAGGCAGTGGGAACAGTGCACCCCAGGAACCCGCTGAGGTTTCAGCCGAATCGCCTCTGAGGCCGTCGTCTCAAGACACAGATGACACAGCTGCTCTAACAGGTTTGCCTCAGCTTGGTATGTTTGCCACCCTGTCCACCACACCACCAGTGACACGTTTGAGTCCAGCTGTGCCATCCCAGCCAGTGCCATTAGAAACACCCTCCATTCCCAAAGAAAGCACATCAGGATCAGACATGCTTGCTGCTGTTCCATCACCATCATTCTCCTCATTGGTAATTCAGTCACCTCATGCCATTAACTTTTCTAAACCAGATGTACTGTCCATCCAAGTGCCTTTGTCTGCAGATCCTGAAGGTTTCTTCAGCACAGATTCAGCTAGGTCACAGGTCAGTGAAAGCAGGAATAGCATGGTGCATTGCAGTGTGGTGAATCACAGAGAGGGCCCCAACTTGTTTATGGGGGCCATGCTTTTCATTGGATCAACAACAGTGCATTTCACAGAGTTAGTGGGAAAAGGGTTTCCTTTGGAAAGGACCTCTTTGTCATCTGTATACTCTGATATTCCTGGGTCAAAAGTGCATCAGTCTCCCCTGACAGTAACTTCCAAAATTTGTCATGGTTCCTTAATGAGAGTGTGTATAATGTCCCTTCTGCTGGAGCCATTTAGGGCAGCACTGACTGGCAGAATGAGTGGTATCACTCTTCTGTCATCATCAGTTTTTCAGGATAAAGCAGAGGTTCCTGTGTCAGTCTTCCACGCTGCGGGTACTCCACATCTAATACTGCTAATGAGTCACCCTCAGTCTTTCACAGCACTGACTAATTGCACTACAGGCTCTAACCCTGCACCTTTCATGTCATCAGCCTCCAAGAGCCTGGCTGAGGTCTCCAGCTCAGCACAGAGCATGTCCTCCCTTTCACAGCCAATATCACTCATCCCAGATGCAAAGCACGCTCGCAGTGCAGCGCTGCCAGTACGAGAATTTAGAAGCAAAACAGATTTTCTCTTTAGAAATGCAACACACTCCTCCCCAACAAGCCCAAGGTCTCCCTTGCTAACTGAGACAAACGAGGTGTTTACTGGGGCAGCACGCACAGCCAGTCCCAGAGCAGCAGCAGCCAACCAGGACAGGCTGCAAATCCCTCCCGCTGCTGCCTTGCAGCGCTCGCCGCCGCCTCTGAATCAGACTTTTGCAGAAGGCCTGACTGATGGAACTCAGCAGGCAAATAGCACGTTCTCCAGATATCCAAACCTGTACAATGCTCATAGGATCAAGGATACTGGACACTGGTTTGGAGATGGCCATGATGACTCTTGATCTAGCTGCAGTGCTGTTAATTACTTCCATTGTACGCCTTTCAAAACCTGAACTTGCTACCACAAATACTTCTGCTGCTGTTTTTGTGGCTGCACATCTAACACCTGGAGATGCAGAAAGTTCAGACCTAACAGTAAATGAAGACAAAAAGATGAGAGTACCCACTCTTGTGATTCCACATGCAGAATATTCATCTCCAAGAGCTTTAAATCATTTAACCTCTGGTCAGACTTTGCATTCAGTTGATAAAAAGCCACTCTCCTCTGTCATGCCTCTACCTTGGGGTATGCTGCCATCACTTGTTTCCGTGACAACAATGATGGACAGCCACAGTTCTGGCTCTTCCAGGATTTTGAATGCAGACTCTGAAAGCAATTTAGATCCTGTCAGCCTTCCTGAAGCTGTAACTTCAGTTGCTACGTGGACCAATAAAGCATTGCTGTCTGCAGCTGGCATTAGTATTCCTTCAGTAAAAACTTCAGCCCCGATGGGAATAAGGGAAGTTGCTCCAAGTATTTTTCCATTGGAAGATGAGTACCATGCACCATCCTCGGTAGTGTCAAGTCTGCAAAACAAAATTAATACAAATGAGCAGCCACTCTTCTCCACCCCTTCAGCAAACTGTACATATGCATCTTATAGTCAAAACATTTCAAATTTACCCTTTGCTGAAAAGAATAACTTTTCAGAATTTGATGTAGATACATTTGCACTGAAAACGTCTCCTGTTCAGTATTCATCCATTGCTACTGCACTGACAATGCCTGACCCTGTGAAAAAGAATCATGGAAACACGGCTAGAAACACTGCTGATTTCTTCCATGTTGGAGATGTTCCTATCAGTGCACCTGGGGAAGCACCTCTCCATTTACATGTTCCTCCTGTTAATGCTGGAGGTGCTCTCCCAAGCTCTCTAGAATCCCAAAGAAGTGATGCTGGAAAGATTACTGAGTGAAACATTAGGCACAGCACTGGTGTTGGCTTTTCAGCTCATTGACAGCTTGACTACTTCAGCCCCAGACAGAAGCAGAGTCATCCTCTGCAAGCCCGGTCCCCTTTCTCTGTAACCAATCTTTCTGCCTCAACTCTCTTGATTAATTTTATTTCAGAAGACACTGGTTCTGGAAGTTTTCCAGAATTTTCTGACAACCAGTTGTAGTCCCCTGATTATTTGGTGATGGCTGATAAATATCCAGCCACGTTCAGTGAGGAGGAGTGGGACACAAGTGCCACAAGTCAGTCTAGCTCCCAGTAACGTATCTAATAATGCTACCAAGGGCATCCCATTGCAAACCCTACCACCAGTGCTCTGCAGTCAAGTCATCATAACTTCTGTCCATGCATCACCAATACAGATAGAGTCTCCTTTTTTGCCAACAACCAACTTTACCCATTCTGTTCTTACAGTGTTATCTGGAGTATCTTCTGGTGCAATACCTACAGTAGAAACTTCAGAAGCAAAACCACTAACAAGGAAATCACCTCCAGCTTCACCAGTGCCAGCTTCTTCCTTCTTTTCTCTAGGCACTGAAAACACACCTTTGCCATCTGTGATGGCTTTAAGCACACCGATACTGACACTAACAAAAAATAACACTGCCACAAAACCGACATCGGATCTAAGCTCAGTAGGAACACAGGCAGATTTTCCTTTTGCAACGAGAAACACGACTGCCTCACCTCTGGACATGCCAGCTCTGCTCGTAACCCCCAAGAGCAGCACGGGCACAGCTTCCACACTCACAGCACCCACAGCCCATGTACCGAGGCAGATAGAAACAACAGTAACTGACACCCAGAAGTTCCCGCGCTCAGACATCACCAAAACGCCAACCCCATACCCACTGACAGTGACAGCAGCTTTGACATCTATTACAGCATCAGCGAAAACAACTAGGCTTCCCCCCTCCGCAGTGGAACTCACCCCAGCTCCTCCCGACACCACGGCAGCAGCCGCTTTCGCTAACATGACGGCAGCTCCCTCCCTGGATTGCCGGCTCTCTGCCAACATGATGCTGAAAACAGGTATGTGCAGCCCCTGGGCTCGCTGAAGGGATGTCCTGTGCCCGTGAGGGGCAGCTGCTGAGGCGTGAGAAGCACACCCCAGTGTCAGAGAGCGTGGGGCAGTAGTGGTTAACCTGCTGCCGACCAGCCAGAGGGGTGCGAGCGGGGTTCTTATAGATAGATGGAGATGGCATTGGCTTTACTTGGGGCTTGGGTTTTAACACCAGTGTGGCAAATGAAGTGGTGAGAGCAGCTGCTGTGAAGTTCAGGAGGTGGCTGCAGGACCACCTGTATGGAGGGACAGCCCTGTGAGCCGGGATGGTTTGGTGCCTGTGTCGCTGAAGAGGACAGTGCAGTAACCTGCCTTGGTCCTCAGCCCTGTTTATGCACAGAAACCTAATTCTGTTCTAATATGGACACCTAATTCTATCATTACAGATCTACTTGAAAATATATTTAGCATTTAGAGTTGCACACTTCAAAATGGGAGGATTTTGAGTTTTCTATATGAACAGTGCCACTTGTGGCTCTGTTTTTCGTGGGCAGCTTCTCCTTAGCTGTCTCTTAAAGGTGCCTGGAGGGGTACCTTGCCCAGGCTTCTCATGGACTCCTTTTGGCAGCACAGCACCAGAAGATGTGTGTGTCTTGGAGATCTCAGCAAGGAATAGGTACAGAAAAGAGTTTGTGACCTTACATGATACAGGCTACAGTGAAATAAGCAGCTTTTGGACCTAATGTGTGTTTGTTAGCTGCTAAATATCCCCATCAGTAGTGTGATGAGTACAGCAGCAATTTCTAAAGATAGAAGTAGCTTGTGTACAGTATATGATTGAAGGTACTCAAGCACAGCTATAAAATTCTTTCTGCAAACTATAAGAGCAAAAGAAGAGGGTGATAGGTTTATTAAAGAAAGCATACAAATGCTGCCTAAACAGAAAATAATTGTAACAGTGGAGCAGCAGATTTCTTTTATGTAACTGTGGCCATGAAGATGTGGAGCTTGCCTGTGCAGCTCTGGCTCAGTCCCCTGGGGATGCTGTGCCAGTCTGTCCTCAGGCAGCAAGTGGCCTCGTGCCTCCTTGGAGAGGCAGCATGGCAAAGACTTCTTGTTGCTGCTAAAGAAATTGCATTTGTTAGACCTTACTCTGGAAGCATGGAAACAATGGGCTATTGCCATGGGATGAATAGGGAACTCAGGAGCTGCTGAGCCCTGGCAGTTCTTGTCTTTGGAGCTGCTGCTAATCCAAGCTGCTTTGATGATCCCTGCACAGCCAGCCCCGTGTAAAACAATTAAAGAAAGCAAACAGGAGCGTGGTGATGTCTCAGACCACCCTGTGGCTTTTGTTGCTCCACAGTTCTGTTTCTGAACACAAGGAGGATGATGATCAGCAATGCCTTCAGGGAGAGTGTGAGAAAAGGCCTCAACCAAGTGCTGAGACAAGCTTTCAACCAGAACGTCAGCGCTCAGGTAAGCGTGCTGGGCTTTCCATGCATGGAAAAACCATGTGGTTTTCACCAGAACAGCTCCCCCACCAGAGAGCCACAGCTGGCTGCAGCTCCAGTGGTGTCTCTGGATGCAGGAAGCCTCTTGAAGGGGAGCACTGAGATGACTACAGAGAGCAGGCAGAGGTGGCACCCACCCTGGTCTCTAAAAATACAGGGAATACCGCAAAGCTTTTAGCGGCTTATTTGATGAAGAAGAGAGAAATGCAAAATTCTTTTTAGTGTGCTCTGGGAAATGACTACTGACAGCAGTTTCATCTTCTCCCTGCAGCTCAGGAGTGACTTCTGCTCAGGGCAGCCAAGTGCTGCTGTGCTCAGCCTGGATCAATGGCAAGAGCAGGGCTGGTAAATGGGATGTCACTGCTGTCAGTCCACCCCCTGCTTTGAAAACCCAGTACCTGACGGGTGCAATTTCACAGGGACAAGAAGCCTGAGCAGGGAGAAAGCACATCTCACTGAAAATAAATGGAGGTGGATGTGTTCATCTCACCTTGCAGCTAAATTGCACGAGCCTCTGCACTGCTGTGTGTGAGAGCAGGCTCGGGAGGGCTGCCCTTTTCCTTGGGACACAATTTCCTCTGCCCTTAGGCTGGGGTTTGTGCTGTTAAGCCCAAACTCTGGGAAGGAAAAAAGTAATTTTTCTCAAAACAGAGGTCATCAAGTTGACTTTGGTCCTCATGCTTTATTGCTGCAAGTGTGGAGGATGTCAGTGGGTTTGGGAATTATGTGTTCCTTGGCAGCAGCTATGAAAGCTGCCAGGTTTCATCCCCCACCTTTTTGAAAACTTGAGAGGAGCTGCCTTCTTCTAACAGAGGAAAACAGCTAAAACTTAGTGAGGAGGACCAGTTCCAGGGGTAAGATGTTTTGGAAAATGCAGAATTTTGAGGTAAAACTCAGCTCACGTTTTGACTCACAGTCTGTCTGTTCTTGTGGTTTGCCATTTCCACTCGTATAGGTGCACTCATAGACTCAGCCAGCTGGGACAGTACAGAACAGGAGATAAGAGACAGCCCAATCAAATATTGGAAACTTTAGTCCTTCAAAAATCTGTCTGGGAGCCTGCAATGACAGAAACACGCAGGAAGCCAGTAAGCTTCAGGCATGGGGTAGTGTTAGCCTTCAGGAACACAGTCACAGAATTATTATATGAAGGTGTTTTATTAAAGAGCTCTGGGTGTCAGGGGTACACAAACCCAAATCTGACCCAGCTTGGTTTTGAGCTGAACATATTTTATTATCCATCATTATATAACTTACATATTAATTATTAAACTTACATTGTTCTATTGTATACATTGATTTTACCCAAGCATGGATTTCTTGTGATCCCCCTCAAACCCCTAACATTGTTCCTCATGATTCTTTAAACAATAATTATATCTAATCACATCTAACAGTTATATAATTTATCATATACTGACTCCACAGGTGCAGTTTCACATGATCTTAGCAAGCACAAGGCCTAACATTTCCCAGGGCCTACTTTTAACACTTTTCCCAGGGCTTGCCAAGCCTAACTTTCTTCCTAACTCCCCAAATTTTCTACGATTTTAAAATCTTTTGCTATCAGTAGTTCTCTGTGTTTTTCCATGCATATGTAAAATGTCCCAGTGTCTGTGCACGAATGAAGGCCCAGCCTAACCTGGAGGTTTGCAGCTGTGGTGGCAGCTCTGCACTCCTTCTATTTGGAGCCCATGCTGCATGAGCTGAGCCTAAAACTCTCTGAGCACTTCTGCTCATACCGTGTCTGCTATGACCTTGATTCCACAGTGGGGATTACAGGATAAAAACCCTGCAAGGGGTGCACATTCAGGGTGAGAAACCCCATCAAACTTTGGCTGAGCTGCCAGCAAAATAACAAAATCACGTTCTTCCCCTGTGTGTTTTAGGTGGAAATCCTGGAGCAGTCGAGTAACCTCACGGTTGGTTACTACGTGACGAGGGGCAGGCTGGTTTTCACGCCGGCCGCGGTCACTGAGAAGCTGCTCGCCTACGGCATCGGCAACGCCACGGCAGACATGAAGCAGCATGTGCCACACCTGCAGGCTGTGGTGGCCCTGGCCCTGCCCTGGCAGCCCCTGCCTGCCTACCACTTCCAGCTGAAGACGGGTGAGCGAGGGCTGCCCTGCCCAGCCTGGCCGTGAGCTCATGGAACAGTGCCCAGGGACTCTCTGGGCCACGGCTCTGCTTTGGGTTTGATGGCCACAGAGGCTACCTAGAACAGAGGCTAGGCAATGGTAAAGGAATAAAGTGGCTAAGAATCACCTTAGCTCTTTTTTTAAACCTTTTTTTTATTATCTTTAGTATTTAAGCATCAAAGGATGCAGCTTGGGCAGGGCAAGAGCCTGGCTGAGGATCCACCCAAGATGGGCCCAAGCTGGGCCCTGGGTCAGGAGTTTCACACTTTGATAGGTTCTGGTCCATTTCCACATTGGGCTGAATTGCCCAATTGCAGCTGCAGGTGATGCAGTCCCATCCTCCCAGATTGCTCTCCTCAATTCCCTGCTGCTTGTGCTTTTTGGGCCCGGAGCTGCCACGGTGTCCTTGGCTGTGGGGCTGGAGAAGGATTGTTGTGTGTGCCTGAGCTGTGAGGAGAACTTGAACACTTTGTGTGGGGTTCAGAGTTACTGATGCACTGCAGGGGCTGGAAATGGGAAAGCTGAAACTTAAGGCATCAGGTTCAGGTGTTGCTTTCCTGTAGGCAGCCCTGCCCTTCCCGGTACTCTGCTGCCAGGGCCACAGGCACTGCTGTGAGGGTGATGCCTCAGGATTTTAGCTTTTATATTTTCCATGTATTTGTAATCCTGCAATTCCTTAGTGTCTACCTCTAAACTCCATCTATAGTGTTAGCTGCTGTTCTCCCAGTCTGGTCAGACAGAACAATTCCCCTCCAGGCCTGGGAATCCAGGACACCTCACTATCTCAGGCCCTGGGAAATGCAAACAAAAGTGATTTGAAGGGAGAAAATTTGGGGTAAATGACTTTATTACCTGAAGCTGTAATTGGAAGATTAACCCCCAATATACAAATGGACCAAACTTACAAAAGAGTGAAAAACTGTGACCCGTTGTCCATTTTGGGTGCAGCCCTTGGGGGAACTTTGCCCAAAATGTACCTGAAGGCCCTTCAATAAATAGAACTGCTTTTTATTCCCTTAGTTTTGCCTGGCTTCTGTTTTTAGGTAGTCCCAAAACATTTTTCCTAGAGTGAAAATAAAACAGAATCACTATTATGATTGATAGTATTTTTCAGGACCAAATGACCTGCAAGATTTAAGATTATAACTTGTCTTTTGGAATGACTTTGCTTACTCCTGGCTCTGAGCAAGAATATGCACAGTGAACAGACCCTACCATCTTATAGATCATTGCAGAAGCAATCTCCATTTGTTTGTGGAGAGTATCAGCTCTAATAATGCAATTTAATTCTTACATTTTGTCTTAATTAAGGCTAATTTAGTGCAGTTCCTGGAGTGGAATTATTTTCACCCACTTAATGTGTAAATTGATCATTTTTTTTCTTGGTGCTGCAACTGAGAATACTTTGTCCACATGCTAATGCCTTCCTTTTTCCAGAGCTGCAGTTTGTGGGCCAAACTGACAATATTCAATCATGCAAATTTGTTCAGACCATGGAACAGAGACTCCAAAGGGCATTTCAGGATGCTGAAAGAAAGGTCCTCAACACCAGCAACAACTTAACTGTTCAGGTACGGTGTCAGGAGCTTTGCCAGTACCTGTTGCCAAACACTGCTGGTTATTCTTTGCCATGTTTATGTTTTTATTCCAACACAGTGCCTTTGCTGGCCACTGTGAAGGGAAGTTTATGTTTTCATCTGCAATAAGATTGTTTTATGCATTGCAGGAAAACTTGATTTATAGAAGGCTGTTGCTTTTCATGAATTGGAGTTTTACTCTTTGCAGTTCAGTCATATAAATGAAATTCCAAGTATAAAAACAGAGTCTTCGAAATTTATGTTTTTATTGAACATGTTATTCTGACACATTAGCTGCTTTCAGAGAGGCTATTCAGGTAAAAAGATGGTGCTAGGCACAGTTGTTTTAAAGATCTGAAATAATGGAATAGATTTCTTTTGGTATGCATTTCAATTCCACACTCATGGGCACAAATTCACCACAAAGGGTCTGATTTTTACACACCTTCAAATGTAGAGTGGGCCAACACTCTTATGCTCCATGCCATACTTCAGGAATAAAGAAATGATCCTCTGGGCAATATTATGGGTCTGTTTTTGATTTATGATAAAACCATGTATGGATTGTGTTCCTCAGAAGGAAAAAAATTGCCATCAGCACTCTGCTTAGTTATTTTGGTGCTGTTTCTTGTGAGCTTCTGTTCAAACTGGAGGAGTTCAGAGAGGCAGCAAAGCACAGGGCAAGAGAGGGCCTACCACAGTAGGTAAAGCAATTATCAAGCTTTTCAGTAGCTGAACCTGAGACATTGAAGGGAACTCCATGGTGCCTAATTTGCTTGTGGTGGAAGTGGCAGATCTCACAAAGCACCTAAGCAATTTTGGAAAGAGCCCTAGAAGAAAGTAGTGGCTGTTTTTGTGGGCATTGCCAATTTAAGGAGAGATAGGGTGGAGGTCCTGGAGGCAACATATAAGCTGGGAAGTAAGAGGCTCAAAGGTGTGATCTTCATGATAAATTTTTCTGAAGGCATTCCAGTATCATGCAAAAAGACTAAGTCTGTGCAACAAAACATTGTATGAGGGCTTTAGATTAATTGAAAACTGGGGAACAGTTCTGGAGCAGACAGAGCCAGTACAGAAATGGCCTTGCTGCCCTAGGAGAGTAGAGGGAAGGTGGGTAAAAGGCACGAAGCATCTTCCATGCAAGGAGAAATGAAATTGGCCATGTCTCTCCAGCCATGAGCACTGTAGTGAATCAGGAGCTGTCACTTTGAGTTTCCCATAACAGAACTACTCAGTTTTAAATAAAAAGAAGCATCCTTTCACATACTATGTGATAAAGGTGTCCAGATGTAAGTGGAGAAAAAAATATGTAAATTACAAAAAACATTTGGCCAAAGATATGGAATAAAAAGTCATCAACCCTTTTTAAACCCAGGCATATGATTTATGGCTCTGACACAGCTATGGGATAATCTCACACTGCTGAAAATCATTTATTCCTCTTGTCCTGTGCTAACTCTCCAACCCTCTGCTCCAGACATTTGTAAGTGGACGTTGGCTAGGCAAACTTTTGGTCTGACCTTGGGCTCTTCTAATGCTTTTTTTTACACCATGATTTCTCTTTTAACTTGATGATCCAAACCATAAAAATGGGGTATTTAAAAAACATTTATGAATGCTGTTTGGCCTACCTATCAGTAGCCAAATAACCCCATCCCTCTTGCCCTTGGGCATAAGTTTTCAAAGAAAACATGTGGGTTTTGTTCCTGGTATTTGAGAATCTCATCCAGTACTTGGGTCCCCAAAATGTAGTAATCAAATTTGGGCTCAGGAAGAGACTGGCACTGAGCTAGAGTGGATAGGAGAGCAGGAATTCAAATGATATTAGGAACAGAAAGGCATGATATCCCTTAATTTCATACTGAAAATGTGTGGGTCTAGAAACAAGCAGTAGGAAGGCAGCAAAGACAGCAAGATAAACAGGAAAATTTCTCTGAATCAAGCACTGGATGATTTTTCTGATAAGCATCCTCTCCCTCATCCCACATTTCCTGGGAAAATCAGGGGAAAATATTTTCAGTCTTGACTGCACCTTATCTGCCTTCTGCTGTCCTCCAGGAACCCTGCAAGTGCTAAAGCAGGGATTAAAGTATCACACAAGTAAAACTGAATGAGATGTAGGTAATCCATTCTTCAGGTTAACATTTCCCCAGTTTCTTTGCTCTGCCTTGGTGTTTTGGGGTTTTTTTTTTTTGTTTTTTTTTTTTTTTTTTTTAATGAGCTGAACCACAGCATCACATTATTTTTGCCTCTGTTTCAGATATTGAACACCTCCAACGTCTCCCAAGCTGTCACTCTGTTTTACGTAGTGAAAAATCAAAGCACAACTCTAAATGGCACTATTTCCAGCAACCTTCTTAATCAGCTGTCAGCTGAGCTGGTGGGTTTCTACCTCACCTACCCACCTCTCACCATTGCTGAGTGTAAGTATGTGCTTCCCAGCATCAAGATTAGCCAGCACCACAATTTGGCTTTGTTGTCAAGCTCAGGGATTATAGGTAGATTTTCTGGCTATTTTTTAAACTGTATTTTGCTTAAAAAAATTAAAAAAAAAAAAAAAAAAAAAAGGTGGGGGGAGGAATTAGATGATTATTTTTTTTTTCCCCTGTTTATTTTGGCCTCTAGCAATGCTGGTCAAAAAAACTAAGGAAAAACATATATAATCTGTCATTAATAAAAAAAATAAATTCCTGGGCCAGGTTTCAAACAAAATAAAATTTTAGTTTTGTGAAAAGCAAAGCACAAAAGCCCCCAGAGTCTTCATTTTAGGAATGCTTAGCACATCACTGAACGAACTTTAGCTTCAGCACTGCCCTCTGCTCCCATGGAATCACCAGCCCCGGTGGTTGCTGGGCTGGGATCAGGCTGTGAGTGTGTTTTTGGGTAGTGGGGTGAGCTCCATCTGTGCTTCTATTTTAGAAAGTTGTTGTTGCATTTGCTGAGCAGCATCCTCAGCTTACACGTGGTGCGAGCACTTTGGCATCGACAGTTTTCTTGCGTTCCAGTTGCTGTGAAGGCTCTGAGGTACAGAGAGCTGGTGTGGGCAGCCCCTGTGGTGTGTGTGCTCTCTGAGTCTGCTGCTAATTTCTTTAAAGTGATTAAAGGGACAAGACACTCGATTATGGGGATTTCTGTTTAATCTGCTTTGTAAATGTGATGTGTAAAATTAAGCTGGCTGCAGACTGGAGTTGTGTGTTTGTGAGAAGAGACAGGGACATGCTGGGTACAGCAGTGCAGAAGCAGACTGAAAGTGAGCACTGGGGAAAACAAAAATTGCCTTTTTTTTCCTTTTTGTCAGTCCATTTTGTTTGCAAACAGCCCCAACAGCAGAGAAATGACATGGTACAATTCTTCATCGGTGACTTCTGTGGGATAAGTGGTTTCTCCTTGCTGTGAGGCAGTCAGGAATCACAGCTAACTTAGGTGACCGTGCAGATCTTTGGGAAAGGAGGTTTGTATGCTGTTTTTGAGGCATTGCCTATCAAATTACAATATTTGGATACAAATATGTGAAACTGCCCTGTAAGCTCTTGCACTGTGTTGGTGCACTTTCGAATCAGAGTTCCCATCACGGGGTAAGAGACACATCTCAAGGTGGGCTTGTGTTTTCATAGAGTCATTCCACAGGCAAGAGGAGGCAGAGAGAGAGAGAGAGAGGCTGTTGATAATGAGTGTGGTCATGGATCTGGAAGGGATGTCCCCCATTCCTCATCAGACAGGCTCTTTTCCATGGCAGGTGGATGCCCTGTGCTCAGGACATGTCTTCAGGGGCCATCCACGAGCACAAGGAGAAAGGTGGAGGAAGTTTTGATGCTGGCTATACTCAGTTCAAGTGTTTGGCCTCCAAAATAGGCCTTTTGCACAGGAAGAGGATTGTGGTGCTTCTCACAAAGGCAATACAGGGATGTGCTTGGTAGTCAAGAGCTGTGCAAATCATTTGTCACACAGCAAGTCTCGTGTGGTACTGCAGTTCTCTGCTGATCCCCACACATGATGAACAGACCTGATAAAGTCTTTAGCAAGTGTTCCTTTAACAACTAGTGGCTTATATTTCATTTTGGAGCTCTTGGTTGTATTCCCAGTGTAGCAGCTGTACTGCAAACTCATGAACTTAATGCATGCCCAGTGTTTACGGCTCCAGACTGATAGTGTGTCTGGAAAATGTTTTCTTTGAGGAGTGTTTGATGCTTATTCATGTGGAAGTGTAGTTGTCTCAGTTTATCAAACAAATATTGAGGTTGTTCTCCGAGCATGTTATTTCCCAGTAGGCTCCAGTGGCTCCTCCAGAGCCTTTGCAGTCTGTCATGGAAATGCACAGCTCAGGGCATGCTGTGAAATCCTCCTCAAAAGCAGCTGCACAATCAAATCCTTTGCAATGTTTACTATTCCAAGTCACTTTGGGGTGTAAAAATCAAGGTGACTCCGTAGCAGCCTATCAATGTGCAGAGCACGGATGTTTTCTGAATGAAGTTCCCGGTATTAATCTATTGAACAAACCCTGAGCTGTGTAATGAATTAGCAGCATATTGAGCTTTACAGCCTAGTGCACTTTGGAGATGGAGGAGCTAACAAAAGGCATCACAACAGCAAATATCAGCTTCTCACAGATGCACACACATATGGTGGGGATGCCTTGGGTGGTGCACAGCGAGAGAGCACCGCGCTCGGAGGTGTGCTCGCAGTTTTGTTAGTCTCGTTTGCAATCCACGTGGAGTCTGATCCTGCTATATTTTCTTATTATTTTAGGCTAAAACTATGGTCTGGGCTATATAAGAATTAATCCAGGATCATCATGGAATCTCATCTGGTTTTCTGCAGGGGAGAAAGCAGCAGAGATCAATTTTACCTATTTCACCTCTTACCTATCCTTCTTGGTTCTGGGCATTCCTGGGCTTCATCCCAGACTCTGTCCCAGCCAGTATTTTGGCAACAGGAGATATATGTTCTACTTTGTATGGCAGTGCTTCTTCTGTTTACACCTGGTGCTCTTTTTCAGACAGAAGAGAAATTGTTACCCTGAAAATTATGCTCTTGATCTCCTCTTGGGCCATAGTTCAATTTTATTTGTTGCTGTCTGGGTAGCCAGTTTTGGGATGCATAATGTGTAGGATGTTGGAATATTATGGCATAATTTAATCTTCTATTTTTAAAGCTTTGGAGTATCCAAACCTTGATGTCTCGGAATCAACTAGAGACTACTGGGTGATAACAGGTACTTTCTAATGTCCTTCCCTCCTCCAGGCACTCCAGGTAATAATTTTTAGTGCTCATTTGCATGAACACAGCAGTGCAGCAATTTTACACAGAAATAAGTGGCTGCCCACTGAACCTGCCTTCAGCTGGGCAAATGTGCTTATTGTCACTCTGGGGCATAACTGATGGATCATCTTGAACAGTGACATCTCCAGTGACCCACACCCACCTCAGAGTTTATAACACTTTCTGAGAGTTTTGAGACACAAATAGACACTTTTTTTTTTTTCTTTTTCATAACCCTGGGACATGGATTTAAATCTGAAATCAAAAGAGACACATAGACATAACTCTGGAACAAAGGTGAAGCTGTTACAGCAAGGAACTTTGTTATGATTTGCTGACTATCTGGGTCCAGGGATTTTTGAATGTTTCACTTGAAGCTCTTAGGCTTCAAAATATTTCTTTTATCAAGTTGTTTCACAGGTGCCACATTCTCATGCACAATCACTTTGACTTCAGAAATGACACCTGGGCAAGAAAGAGACCCTTTCCCTCAGACATCTTTGTGTGATACCAGAGCCTTTCTAGTTGGTGTGTCTGTACCTGGAATTGTTTAATGCTCAGGAGAGCAAGAACAAAGGGCTCTGACATGAAATAGACTTGGTACCAGTTCCACCTTTACATAAATTTGAAATAAAACATAAGTTTATGCAGAGATTATGATCCTCTGAAGGGAGTGGTACAGCTCCTCCCAGTATGGACCCTGTGAACCTGATACTCCATTTCTTGCACTCTCTGTGATGGATTATTATTGATATTACAATGGAAACTGTTTTCAAAAAGATCTTGGTGAAGATCCCAGAAGACTTTTTTGAAATAATACTCTAAAAACCATACATATGTATCAATTGAATCAGCATATCACTGTTTTTGAACTTTAGAATCCAGTGTCTTTTAAATCTTGCATTCATTTATACTTCAGAAATGTTTATTCAGGTTTCTGTGCTCTCAAACAGGATATTTTGTTTGAGACTGTACAAAATCCAAACTTCAGAGTTCAAATTCTCAGGATAGAAACTGGTTAATGAGAACATCTGGCAATAAGCATAAATCCAGCAGCTCTTAAATAGGTTTGAACCTAATTTTTACATTGAAGATCATAGAGTAGATGCTCCCCTGAGCCATTTTGGTAAACTGAAGGCCTAGAAATGGTATTTTGAGATTTTTACTCTCTGAAACATCACTGGTATTATCTGAGATGAGCAGTGCAGGGACTGAAACAGAAGTTATATCCCCACAGGGAATTACTGAGAGGGAATAACAACGTCCAGGTATTTTTCTTCCCGTCCCAAACCGTCCCACAGACCCCGTGCTGCTTCACCTGGCCGTGCATGAAGTGCTGATATGTGTTTTTTCTCCTTTCCTACAGTCATCCAAGGGGTTGATATTGCTTTGCTGGGGCTGAACAACCAGAGCTTTGCCAGACTGATGGAGCAGCGCTTGGCCCCGCTGTTCATGATGTCCCACCAGCAGGGAAGGCGGTTCAGACGTGCCACTACCGTGGGCAGCTACACCGTGCAGGTGCTCAGAGGAGCTGTGTTCAAAAAAGTGCTTTGCTTGCATGTGTCCTGCTTCAATCTCCTGTAAAAGACGTGTCTAACTAAATTTCTTGGCTGAAATTTTCCTGTGTTTCTCATGGATATCAAAGCAGCGAGGGCAGAATGCCTGGCATTGCTAATCGTGCCTTTTTCTGCTGCCAGCCGTGTTGGCATGCCTGTCATCCTCCAGAAATCATCATTAGTTAATCAGTGTTCATAAATATTTTCTCTCTGGTTGCTATGAGGATTGGTACAAAGTACATATTTTAGCACATTCAGCATAATGAAGAGCTCCAAGTTTTTTCTTCATGATGGAAGTTTCCTAGGTAACTCAAAGCTAGAACTTATATTTTTTTTTTTCTTTTTGTTGGGAAAAAATGCAAGAAGCAACCTTTATTTATGCAGTTAGTCATCAAATCATGTGGCCCCAGATCATGTTATGAAGTAGGGACTTCAGACCTGATTAATTTATTAATCATCTTCCTTTTATTTACAGCATTTTGCATTCAGTATTTTGAACTGATCATATTTTGTTTTCTCAACAATTAAGCCAACCGATGCTATGGGCAATTAAGAGATTTCCTCTTCAGTCTTCAAAAATTAGTAATTTAAAAAAAATTAAATTATGTTTTTCAAGAGTTGTTTGTTGTAAGGCAGAAACCCAAGTTATTATATTTCCCATTTGCCCACACAATTCTTTATATTGTTCCACTGAAAGAATTTAAAAGAAGGAACACATTTTACTTGCCAAAAGTGTGAACCTTTGTAAAATTTTAGTCCATAACATAATGGAGAAGAATCACAAAACTACTTTTTCTTCTCATCATTTGAAATGTTTGACACTTTTTTCCACTCTCAGAAAAGTCAGAGGTACAATGGAAAAATTCTGACAGTGTTCTGCAGAATAAAATAGGAAAAGCAAGATTCCTTTCTTATCAAACCTGTTATATCAAAAAAATAATGAGTATAGAAGGGAAATGTGAGGCTGTTTTTCAACTTCAATATGCCAGTAAAGTACAGTTTTCAGTATTAGAACAGATTATAAAAATTCTCCCTTTACAAAGGACTGTAATGTCCAAAAATTTGGTCCTTTCCTCTTTACTGAACGCTTTTCTTAGTGTAGGGTTTTACCTTAGGATTATGCTTAATTATTTTTTAAGAAAAACATTAAGAAAAATTAAGAAAAATTCTCTGACTGACTGATTTAGCATCCTGAAGGGGAGAAGCTCTGATCCTATGAGAATATTTGCATGGAGCTTATGCTTTTGGGAGATCTTGAAGGAGTTCCCTGTGGGCACTGCCTCCAAACAGCTCCTGGCAAGTTTTGCTGTGGCATAATGCGAGCACAGTTTATTTCTCTTTCTCTCCTTATTTATTTATTCATTTTATTTCCCTTAAAGATGGTAAAAATTCAACGTATTCCAGGACCCAAGGAGCCAGCTGAACTAACATATTACACTTTATACAACGGGAAGCCTTTGCTGGGCACTGCAGCTGCCAAAATTTTGAGTACAGTTGACTCCCAGAGGATGGCCCTGACCCTGGGCTACGTCATCCAAGTCCAAGCTGATCGTAAGAGTCCTTTCAAAAATTCCATGCTTAATCATTGTTTTATTCCATGAGCTGAAAGTTGAAGCTTGAACTTCCACAGTTTCCACTGTGGGAAGTCAGAATTAATTCTGCTGCTGGCAAAACCACGGCACCACAGACTAATGGGGCAAAGTTGCTGTTCATATAACTTGACCAAAAAAAGTAAAATGTGGTGGCTATTAAGATGTCCCTTATTTTTGAATTGATCAAAATAGTGTGGGGATAGATTCTTTCTATGTCAAAGGTATTGGGTTTTTTTTTTTTAATAATGATTTTCACCAAGAAAATGACATGGTTGTTGAAGATATTGTTAAGACACAAATCAGAAAAGTGGAGTTGAAAAGAGCTACTTGTGCATATGGGCGGCTTTCTGATTCAAGATATGATAGTATCATTCAGAATAACGTGGCCAAAAATGATCCATTCTTGAAAAGCAAAGTGTTTTCAAATTTCTCTTTCAAGACCTTCATCAGTTACTGAGTGATTGTGGACACAGGTTTCTTTAATTTTTGTGGTTTTTATTGTAGCTATTCCTATATCCAAGGCCCATAATCATAAACCTGTGGTGAAGCTTGGTGTGTTTTTTCATGCTGTTCACAGCTCAGTGTACAAATCCATGTACAAAGTGCCAAAGTACTTCTTTAGAAGGAATCAAAATTATATAGTGGAGTTCTGCACTGGATCTCCTTACTGGTGAAACAGCACATAAAATGGGTATCCCTGGTGCACTTATATCTGCCTGCAGGAGTGGTGAAACTGAAATAATTATGTAAAATAATGAGAGGAAAAGAAGAGACCACTGTAATAAGTAATTTTTATATCATCCATAAACTCAGGATTGAGTACAAAGACAGAAATATGATAGAATTCCCAGAGAATGCACCCTGTACTGTATCTGATTCTTGGTTTGATCATGGTCTGCTACTGATTTTAATTCAGCTGAACCCGAGGGTCTCCATTCCATAAATCCCAGCATTTAAATTCCAAATAATTTTGTTTTCCATGAAAATATTTCTCTAATGTATTTTTTCACTAACGAAGATATGGATACAGCAGTTTCCTAGCTCTTTGTGCAGTGATGTGGTTTATATTTATGCAGGTATTTAGGCAATTAAGGAATCTTCTGCTTATCATCTAACTTTGTATTTCCATGGTCTGATAAGGCAGCCTTATTCATCTGTAGATTTTCACACCAGCCACGTAAAAAGAGAATATACAGAAACTGAAAATGTGACCTGAGGTACCAAAGATTCTGAAGGCAAAGTATTTGAAATGTAGGAGATGATTCCATCTTTATACCTTATTATGGGAAAAAAAACCAATTTCTTTCCCTTTGGACACGGTTATTTGCAGTCTGTCTTTGTATTGCCACAGAAAATAGTCTGTGTGGATTTCATTTTTGCTCATTATAATTTCTGTTCTAGCAGAATGAAAAGTTCTGTCCCAAAATACTGTAAGAAAAGACATGTACCCTCAGGAGCTCCATGGCTGGGTTAAACAAGATGGAGGAATAATAACACAAAATATGGATGTTCCTGTGTTATGAGCCAGAGACTGAGTTACAACAGAATGAAAGGCTTGTTTCAAATTCCACTGAAGTCTTACTGAGTCAAATGAAATGTGGGTTGACTTTAGGTCACATTGGAGTCTGGTAAATGAATTAAAGATGTAAATTAGGACTCCTAAATGTCTATCCTATTACCCATAAGATCATCATTTCCTCTGCTTCCCTTAGAAGGAATAAATATCATTTTTCAACCATTGTTTGCTGCTTCCACAGCAGCAGTCTATAATTAAAGTGTCTGTTATTTGTTAAAATTCAGATTCACTTTCCTTCCCCACAGCCCTTTCATCCCCAAACTAAATGTCAAAGTCAATAATTAAGAATTCTGTGAGTCTGTTGAAAAGTGAACCCTGAAAGTCTCCAACCTGGCCTTTTTACATCCTCGTGCTCCAGCTCTGAGCTTAATGTTCCTACATCACCCAACAAACTTCACTGGCTTTGCAAAAAGTCACAAATCTACAAAGAGAACAGGCTCCAGCCAGGTTTCCTGGAGAACTGAGGAGTTCCTAATGACTGCTGCAGAACAAGCTGGTTTACATTTGAAGTCTGATGCTGAGAGATGCTGAGTGCCTCTGACAGCTCATAAGCTCAATGACATTTGAAAGCTCCGGTCCCCCAGGAAATGGGAGCGGCTGCATTGTGCTGGTGTTCTCAGCATTGCCTGCCCACACCAGCAACCAGTGCCACAGCAAAATAAACACCAATATCGTGGGGAAATCCGCTAAATATTTCACTGCAGTTAAGTTCAGCATTATGAGGAGGTTGTCTGATTGTTTTTCCAGAATGAAATGAGAGAGCTGGGAATGTCTCACGGGAGGATCTCTTACGTGTGAACAAGTTGAAGGTTCATACTCAGGGAGATTATTCTGATGAAATGGAATCTAGGATGTTTTTGCATCACTGCATTTCTGAAACGTACCGTTTTCCTTAAGCCATCTTTAATACATCTGCAAGTGGCTCTTTCCAACCTCATTATTTCCACTCTTTCAGAAATGAAGAATTCTTGTTGACCTTAACTATGATAAATTATTTCTAGAGCACCAGAGAAGCTTATTGATATTGATATTGATGATATTCAAACTGGTTTCATTGTTTTTTAAAAAGCTCTGCCAGTTTGCTCCTGCTGAGCCAGTCAGTCTTTGACACCATGTATGGACTCCATGTGTGCTCTTTTAACACACATGCTGAGGTGATTTGCTCTAAGCTGGGTTTGTGTTTGAAAGAGTTAAGGATGCATTACTTGCACCTTTTGTTTGTTTATTGTTTAAATGAACCATTGGAGGGATAGCTTATATGGCATCTATCTTGACTTTGGAGTGGATGTTGGCTTTTGCATGTAACCAGGTAACTTAAAACTAAGAGAAGGGAGCCCAGGGATTTGTGAATTCAACAGTGTTGCTGATTTATCCTTTTTTTTAAACTTTTAAAGTAATACAAGGGTATTCCCTTGCATAGAAAGCTAGATTACTTACAGTGCTTTTGTACTAATTTCTACATGGGGCAACTGAGGGCAGGGAGCAACAGGAACCTTGCCCAGCGAATCTCACCCATGTTGGTTTGCCTTTTTCTGCAGCTGTGGTGAAGAACCCCCCAAACAACCTGTGGATCATCGCAGCCGTGCTGGCTCCCATCGCTGTGGTCACCGTCATCATCATCATCATCACCGCCGTGCTGTGCAGGAAGAACAAGAACGACTTCAAACCAGACACCATGATGAACCTGCCTCAGAGAGCCAAGGTCAGTGAACCAGCTCTAGATCCAGGAGTCCATGTGCCTGCAGAGGCTGTGACCCTTGGGTAGATGGAGCTGGAGGATGTTTGGAATTGGAAGGGTTGTTAGAGCTTGGATCAGCACATCTTCTGTAGGACCTCAAAGCCCCTGGCCCGAGCTGTTCCTGCCAGGTGGGAATGTCTGAAGTCTGACTGCAATTCAGACCTGACCCTAAGCAAAACTCTCCTGCTAATCCAGAATAGACATTCTTTGAATTTCGTTTTTCTCCTACTGCTATTTTTCTTTTAGGTGTTTCAGACTTTCCAATTTACTTATGTATATTGCTGACTGGGTTCAAACAATTACATCTTTCTAACAGTTACTAATCCATATCAATTGCAAGAATTCTTTTTTTTCCCAAATCAAATGCACTTCCAGCTTGATCCTCTGACAGAAAAATGTCACAGAATATTGTTTCATCTCCATAGTGAAAAAGCCTGTCCTCTCAGTGCTGCTATTGATCAGCTCCACCCAAAGAAAGGAGTTTCTAGCCCATGGAGCCTGTGTGTAATTCAGACCGATCCTTTGCCCTTTTAGCTGGCTTTGTTCTTCTCCACTGGCATGGGATTGAGATGAATATTTTTTTTTGGTTTCTTAATGCTACAGACAGCAGGATTATTGAGATTTCAGCTCTGTTGCTTCTGCTGAAAAATGTAGATTGGAAGAAGAGTTGAAGGAAGGCAGGAGGCATTTGACAGCTCTTTTCTCCTTATCTTAGGTTTGTTGCAGATGGATGCAGCTGGTGCCAGTTGGAAACCAGACATTTGTATCAAAAATGAAGCAGAAAAGACATTTCTCTTTTGGTTCCAATGTGCTCTTTATCCACTATTATCCATCCAGTGATAAGATTAGATCTGCAAAAGTGATATACGATATCACAAACACAAACAAGAATTAATATCACTGCAGTGCTATGTGATGCCCCATTGAAGCCCCTAAAATGCAAATTATGCTTTATTAGGAGCTGTTGTAAGTGCTATGCACCATTTGATTTTTTAATGTATAAACTGGGTCCCAACTAAAGAAGAAAAATAGGACAAAACTTGTACATTATTTTGAAGTACCCATCAATATGGGATGCTTAACATCTGAAGAAAGTTCCTATTAAAAAAAACCAAAACAACAGCCAACCTACTTCTGGTTGAGGCTAGAGCACAGGAGAAACTTGGAAGTATTTTCATATTCCAATCCATTGTTTTTAATTCCAAAAAGAAGTACAAAATTGGACTCTATCTGATCTAGAGAAATCAGATTTAATCAGGCTGTAAGATACGTGCTCAGGTTAAAGCCTGTTTGGCTTAACAAAACCAATGTTAAGGTTTTTTTAAATGTAAAATTTAAATTTGCATCAGTCATCAGTGTATCAAATGGGAGCTGGGTCTGCAATTGCTGGAACATTTTGGTTTTGTTTTGTTTTGCTGAGCTCCCAGCACCCACACCAGAGTCCTTTCAGGAGATTTTCCTGTAGGTTTGTTCCCTTTGCAGCTGGAATGCAGAAGGTTCCCTTCCAGAGTGCGTTTCCCCTTTCCGGTTTGAGACTCCATAAAATTGAATTTAATTCATTATCTGAAAAGTGATGCATTTCCAAATGAAAGCTAAATTGCTTTCCATTTAGTTTCACGATGATGGCTCCATCAGAAAAGTTCTGCCAGATCTAGGGTTGACTCCGGTATATGGACTGTGGAAGATAAATCCTGCAGTGGGACTGGGAGTGGACTGGTTTGGTCATTTCTGATTTCAACAGCTTGAATTAAAATAAGGCTAAGAAACATATTTTGAGAAGATAATGAAAGAAGATCATTTCAAAAAGAATAATCTTAGTTTTATTTTTAATTCCAGCGCTAGGGATAGTGGTAATTGCTTGAACTGTAATTGCCATATTTCATGTGGTTTGGCATGAGCACATATCCATGTCACATTTAAAATGACTCTGTTGTATTTCACGGCTGAGCAAAGTGCCCCAGACTGCTGATTAATGCTGACTCTGCTGGAAGCAGAGTCACACTGGAGTGATTTGTAGTTTAAGCAGCCGTTTTAGGATTTTGCTCCTGTGCATCCAAGCCGCACTGTGGAATTTTGTGATGCCTTGTGGACATCCAGCAGCCTGCCTGGGGAGGGGAGCAGGATGTGATGGGATTCCTGCCTGCTGGGCTCTCAGGTGCGTTTGTTTGCTGTGCTGGGGCTCCAGAATCCCTGCTCCAAGGGGATGGGCAGAGCAGAGCTGCTGCAATCCTGCGGGAGGGAGGCTGCGGGTCCTGCCACATCCCTGCGGCGGGATCCCTTTTTTATGTATTTTTTTATATATATATATATTTTAACATCTTTAGTGTCTTTTTCATGATCATTACCAGCACAAAGTGTTCCAGAAGGAGGCACGGACGCAGAGCCAGGGTAATGGCACATTCAGCATTAAATGTGTTTCACAGGGGGAGGTGAGCAGGGGATGGAGCAGAGCAGCAGCTCTGCTGCCTGAGCCCGCTAATTAAGGCGTGACTTCTGTGCTGTGGCAGACTGAAGGGTAAATAAATGAAGTTTGCAAAATGACCTCTGGTATGCAGCGTACTTTATGGGATCTCTCTTGGGAACTGTGTTGCTGTTCCGAATTGCCTCAGCAGTCAGGGACATCTGGATGCAGTTGCAGGGAAAAGGAAAATAGAAAAATACCTTTTTTTTTTTTCAATTTTCTCTCTAGCTGTAAAATGAAAAGTAGTATAAATTCAAATTGGTGAAATTCTGATGGGATTTTATTTTAATGCTATTTCAATGCTGTTTTTATTTTAAGCAACTGTTTTTGCTTTGAGGTTTTGGATGGATGTTAACTTTTGCTTCCCTTGCTTTCTAATTCACAGCATGCATTTTTAAAGTCTAGAATCTCATTTGTTCCCTCACCTTTTATTTTTTTTTTAGACCATGAAAGAATAAGTTTGCAGGTAAAGAGAGATAAGATCTGTAGTCTAAGACACACAAACAAAAGCAAGTGCTGCAGGCCATGGGAAAACAAGCTTTATCTGTCCTTCCTTCCTTCCTTCCTTCCTTCCTTCCTTCCTTCCTTCCTTCCCTTTTTCATTACAAGAAGATCATTCATCATTACAAGAGAAAAGTATCCCAGAAACAACTCTCTGTATTCAGTCTGCCCTTTGCCAGTCAGTGTAACCTTGTGGTGTCTCTCTATCAATTTATTATTTCAAAAGCAATATTAGAATCTCAGTCCTGCAGAATTTGTCAGTATTTTGGAAGTGCTGGACGTTTGCAGTGCTTCAGCAATGCCTGATCGTGATTTAGCCTTGCCAGTTCCCTCCAGGGGTGGCAGAGCCATCTGCTCCTGTGGGCTTTTACAGAGCAGGGATCCAAGAGCAAATTTTATTTAATGCAATATGTCTGCTGATGAGGATGACTTTCTCAGCTCTCCTTTTATTGCAGTTTGTTACTGGACATGGTGGTAAGTAGAACTCTGATTAAAATAATCCTTCATTTTCTTCCTGTGGCAGATCTGAGCTGGGACACTGCAGAATTCTTTAGTAATTCTCATGTCCTGCTGTTTCTGGTTTGGTTTGTTTTTTGTCTGGAGGGGTTTTTTTTTTGGTTTATGGATTTTTTAAAAAATAAGATACAAAGTTGAAGCTCATTTTACTCTTTGAAAGGCATGGAGGGAGAAATAACTGATTTGATCACCTCTTCTCTCTTGTTACCTTCTTTCAGAATATTCAGGGCTGCCTCAACTGACAACTAATATTTACAATGAGGTTGAAAAACATTATTATAGTTAACAGTATTATTATGTAGGACATTGTGCAGCATTTCTCCCTAGCTGTTCTTCACACAGCTTCTGCTTCCTTTCCCTCATTTGCTGCCTGTTTTGTGATTCTCAAAATTTGGTAGCTCATTTGGTGGCTGTTTTGTGATACCCTGCTTGCCATGGAGGGCTGATGATGAGGGCATTTCTCTGATATATTGCAAGTTCCATGGGGGTGATTTGTGGATTTGTCTTTTCCTTAATGCATGGAAGCTTCTTATCAGAGGAATGCTGAAGTATGGAAACACATCAGGAATCATTAGCCTCAGTCTGAGCAGGAGCTTGGGAATGCCATGCAGGTCCACATAAAGAAAAAACATTTTTTGTGTTTCAAAAAGTGCAGAACAGCCCCATTCTTGTCAGACTGAGATCACCTGTGAAATGTATCTGAATTTAGAGCTGCAGCCCAGATTAAGTGAGGGATTCAACAAGAGAAAATGCTTTTCAGAGCTCCTCCTTTTTCTGTGCCAGCAGCAATTTTTTTTCTCCTGCTGATTTGCTTTTGGAACTAAAATATTCAATGATGACATGAGAGGAACCTGGAGAGACTAATAAGTCATGAGCTAATGCTAAAGTATTTCCCAAGCTATGTGTGAGGTTTAAAATCACCACTCTCTCAACTTTCAAGTGTCTTGTGGTCCTTAGTATTTTGTCAATAGTCTTTTTACTTCAGGAAGAGCAACCTTCCCATTTTTGGTAAGTTAATTTTATTTAGTGCAAAGGAAAACATTTTCCAGAAGTGGTCAGGAATTTCTTTGAGTAACCAACAGATAATGCTGGATTTTTTGTATTTTTATTTTTTCCCCCCTTCTCTTTCCCTTCTAATTGAAAATGCTATTTGGAAAGTCAACTTTTTTTCTAAATGTTTAATTTTTCCATTGAGAGAATTCACCTTTCCTTGGCTGCTTTGCCCAGAAGGCATGTGTTAGTTGTGCTGGGCAAGAACTGCCTTGCTGCAAGGTTCTGGTGAAATGCCACTTCCCAAGAGAAACAAGTGAAGTCAGTAATATCCTCCCCAGTAGGCAACTGGCAAGTCAGGGGAAATCTAATTTCACTGATCTGAAAAAGATTCTTTTCTGGAAAATCTTGCCCATGAAACTTTCTGATGTGTGCCTTTTTTACTTTGGCTTGACTGGGAATAAATTACTCCCACCTCCTTTGAAAACACAAGGGTTTTGTCAGAGAAAGTTTTCTGTGTGGTTTTATTTTTTTTTTACTCCTTACTTTTTCTTCCACATCCTCATTCTCCCACTGTCTGTCAAAGTAATCTCTGAGGGTGTTACAGCAGGGTAAGAAAGGTTAGCCAAGATCAATTTTATACTAACTAATCATGTCTAAAATGTGTGCAATGGAGATCTCATCAGAAAATTGGTTTCCTTTTGGGCATATTTTTTTCAGCCAGTACAAGGCTTTGACTATGCCAAGCAACACTTGGGCCAGCAGGGAGCAGAGGATGAGGTTTTACCTGTGACTCAGGAGACTGTCATCCTTCCACTTCCAGTCAGAGATGCTCCTGCCTCCCAGGAGAGAGAAACTACCCAGGATGGGAGCACCATCAAAACTGCCAAATCCAACGAAACAAGGAAAAGGTATGGGCTGGCACCTGTGCCTTTCCACAGAGGAAAGGGTTAATAGGATATGTGCTGCTGGTTGCTGTCAGGGCTGGCACCCAGGCTCTGTGTGTGGCACATGGCTCCTCTCCAGGATGTATCCTTGGCATAACACTGGTCTGTGCTGGATGTTCTGCTGCTGCAAAATATGAGATAAAACCAAGTGGAGCCTTACCGAGGAGGTGAAAGGCTTTTTATGGGACTGTTGGTGTTGCACAAGAGATGAGCCCAAATGAAACTTGAGAGCTGTAGCATGGGCACTAGAAATCTCTCAAGGAGCCAAAAGACAGGTTCTCAGCCACTGTGAATTTCTGTCACTCCACTGGCAGGCTCTGTCACTCCAGAATTGGAGCCAGTGCCTTCACTAGCACCAGGGGAAACACTAAACACCCACTAAATTATGGAAGACCTCTAAATCCAAAGCATCTACAGCAGGACAAAACTTCTGAAGTGTAAGAATAGACTAGATAATGTCAGTGTCCAGGCTAAAGTGTCCCAGGTTCACTCTCTTCATAATAAAGTCTCTAGGCTTGTAGGATCATGGATTCAAGATCCCCAGGAAGCTATCTGGCTCCTCCTCTCTGCTGCAGGGTCCAACACCCCCCTAACTCAACTTTATCTACCTTATTTTAAGGTCTTCCACTGGTGGGATGATCACAACCTCCTCCAGCAATCTGTTCTCTCCTGCCTTTCCTGTCAGGAAGTTTTACCTCAGTTTCACCTTCCCTCAGCCATCAACAGAATAGCTGAATATTTCTTGTCGAGGAGAGGGAAGCTGATTATCCCTTTATCCCAGCTGTTTTGCATGCTTTCAGGCCAGTTTTTACTTGACCCTTTCTCCCTGGTATTAAATGAGAGTGGAGCTGAGGATAGATATTGAAGGGAAGAGAGGAAAATAAACCTGTTAGGTGAACAGCCTGAACAGAGGTAACTGTTGCTCTGTAGCTCTCAGACATTACACGGGCCTGGCTTCTTGAAGGGATTTGCTAACATACAAGGAAAGCAGCTGACTAATGCAGAGAAATTCTGGAGAAAACCAAGCCTTCCTAGCTGAGTCACCTCATCTCATCCAGCATTCCTCCCTTTGGAATAATGGGAAAGCGTGGAATACTCAGCACAGTGTTGCTGCACACACATGTTGGATGGGGAGGTGTCAGCCAGCAGGGTGTGGGGCTGGAGGACACACACTGCTGCTCTTCTCGGGGGGTAGACATCCCCAGTGGTCATCAGCTGAGGTTTTCCCTGCAGAAAATCAGCCAGAAGGATCCTGAGCTCCTGCCTGGTTTGTCCTACTCCTTTGGCTGTGTAGTGAATCACCTGGAATGTGGGAAGAGCTGTCTGCAGGGCACACCAGGAGAGAAGAGCGAGCCAGCTGCAACTGGATGTAAACTTATCCTGCCATTCAATGCCAGTGAGGTGGTGTTCACACTACAAGCCATTGAAATGTGAGGTTTAGGTCCTACAGTCCCTGTGAACCAAGCAGCACCTGTCCCCTTCAAAGTCTGACATCCTTTGAGGAAATAACAAATGGAAAATGACCTTGACACCTGCAGCTTGTGCTGGTGCTGGGCAGGTCAAGTCTTTGCAGGAATTGTTCTTTAAAATATTTCGAAGCCTCTCCAAAGCCATGTGTAAACACACATAAAAAATGTAAACCAGCCCTGTTAATTAATCCTCTAACCAAAGTGATTAAGCACTTCACTCAGTCCTTTGAGTGAGTGCAAAAATCCCCCACTTAATCTGCACCCTTTTAAACAAATGCTGATAAGCAAACTCAATCCAGGAAAGTTATTCTCATTATAAAATGTGCTGAACCTTGGTGCCCTTCTAAGCAAATAACTAAGAGTTAGTTTTCCCTCCCTTAGGGTGATTACTTGAGTAAGTGAGAACATGCAGAATTTCAGTATTTTTCATTCCCAGGAGCAGTGTCTGGAAATGGAATTTAATGCTTCCTGAAGATGAAGAAATATTTCTTGACCTTTATGTGTTTGCTCTTTCATTCAGGGTACTTTACAGCCTGAAAAGGTCAATTCAAACCAGACAGCCATGAAGTGGCTGGTAACTGATCAGACTATCTTCTCTGCTATCACTACTGAAAGAAACTTCTCAGTTAATAATGTGAGGGCCACTTAAAAAGGATGAGTATTGGGATTAGTGTCACCACAGAAATCGTTGTGCAAGCTATCCATGCTCTTCTTTCTGTGTTCCCAAATTGAGCAGATTTTCTCCAGGTGTTGGTCTGTCCCTGGATGGATTTTTTTTTTTTTTAACTGGGGTGGGATTATTCATTTAGCAGTGACAGACAGGTTTATAGGGAGGAATCTCGAGAACACTTATTTTCAATAGAATTTCACAAGGAAACCCTCAGGCTGGACTGGGCTGAGTTCTCTGAGAGCCCTGTAGCTGGAAAGAACCTGTTTTAAATTATACATATTTCACCTAGGCTACCTTCAAAAGTGAATCCCCAAGAATTGCTTTTCTCATATTTGTCCCTTGCAGTTCTGCCCACAGTAAATGCTTTCTACTTACACCAGGCAGGGCGGCCAGACCTGGAGGTAAATGAATGTTTCAAGCTGATGATACAGTATTGGCAATGATTTACAGGATGGCTTTGACAGTTGTTTTGTTTTAGTACCATTTTCTGGTTATAAAACCATTGTGACAGCAATAGAATTTGATTTTATTCTTTTTCTCTGTAAATGGAAGCCTCTGTGACTAGGCCCATTATTTTTTCCTCTAATGTAACCTCCTCACATCACCCTGTCACTGCCCATGACAACTCAGTGGTAGATTGCAGAAAGGTTTGTGAGTAACTGCACAGGTCCTGTGGAGTGTTTTCATTCCCTTTGTAGCAAGTTTCACATGTAAAAATAACGTGACTGTGTCTGGATGCAGACTAGCACCAAATGTACTGTTTTGTGCTGTGGCCTGCTTTTCCCAATTTGTACATTAGGATTTGAGTAACTTGTCCACCCCAAAAAAGCAGAAAAGCTGGGGTGGGAGCTTGGTCTCAGAGCAAACTGCCCATTTCTGTCCCTGCTCCTCGCTGGGCCTGAAGGCACAGAGATTCTGCCCTGCCCTCCCTCCTCACCCTGGGCAGGGACCACTTGCAGGACAGGGATATGCAATTAAAACCAGCTCATTAAAACAAGCATTTTTTTAGGGGTTTCAACCAGTGAGGGCACTGATTTAACGAATCGGTTTGGCCACACATCCTAAAACAAAGATCTGCTTTATTTTGTCTGGGTTAATGACACTAAATTGCCAATGGGACTTTTTGTCCTCGGTGGTGGCACTTTTATCGCTGTGGGGCTCATGCATGAGGAGCAGTTGCATTCCAAGCCCTGGAGATGCCCACCAGCCCTGAACTAATTGTCCAAGTCGTGTTCACCTCCCTCCCATCCTTTGCTGCGTTGCTGTTTCCATTCTGCCTCCTTTTGGTACCAAATCGCTGTTGAAAACTCAGCCGTGCAAACCGCGCGAACGAAATAACCTTGAGAGGATGTTTAGGAGGAAGAACTCACGTCCTGCCTTGTTGCTATGGTTACTTGCAGCCGGTCCCCGAGCCAGAACGGCTCCATCCTCAGCAATGGGTCGGGAAAGCCCAGCTCTGGCCGGAGCTCGCTGCAGAAAGTGATGGCACCGCAGAAAGCGGCGAAAGACGAGGGGAGGAAGAGGAACGGTGAGAAGCGTTCTCTGTGGTCGCTCACACTTCCTTGCCCACACCAGGGGAACCATCTGAAACCAATTTCTCATACCAGCAGCCCCTGGGTGTTCTGTGTGTGGCTCATTTGCTGGGTTTTCTCCTTCCCCTTTACTGCTTTCACTGTTTCTCCACATCCCATCAAACACCGTGGTGGGACTTCCCAAGTTTTCTTGCTTTTTTGTTTTCCACCTCTTTTTTGTTTTTTTTCTTGGAATACCAGTAAACTAATGAAGATGTGGTGCTTCTTAGTAGAGTTTACAGCTTTTTTTTTTGTGTGGATCCCTAGGATATTAATTTCTTCTGCTGCTGCTAAGCTGGCCCAGATCTGATGAAAACGAATTAATTAGATAAAAATTAATTTGAGAAAGTGTGAAACAGCCAGTGCTTTGTCTTTCCTCACACCCTTGGCACACCTGTTTGTCATTAACACTGTCAGCTTTTCCTGATGCACTGGGATGTCATGCTGGATGTTTCTTACAAGACCTTGGTTGATGGGGGTGACCTTGTGACTCGAGATGGATCAGGAACATCTGATGAGAGAAGTACCTAATCCCCTTTTGTCCTCGCTTTTCTCCTTTCTGCTTATTTTTCCTGAGTTACAGCTTTGTTCCCATAGCTTTGTTTTCCTTATGAATAGAAAACTGGCTAACAGGTTCTAGGTTTCAAAGGGGTTAATTATTTTTTCACTGTATGAAATGTAGCTCATTTTACAAGACAACACTTGTGTTTTCCACGGTTAAAAGCTGTAATTTATGATGGCTTTTTTTCTTTTTTTTTTTCTTTTTCTCCACCCAGGAAATCCAATATTCAAATCAGTTCCAAATGCTGTTTACATGGGTAGACAAAATAATTTAGTGAAGGTATTTTTTGTTTTGTTAGGTTTTACATCTTCATAGAAAATTGGTAATCTCAGTTTTGTTTGTTTTTTTAAAAGAATTAAGTAACACCTAACATCCTTCTGATCTGGGCTGTAGTGCATTTCTAGAACATACACAAGCTACTTAAATAAGTAAGCACTAATGTAGTAGAAGGAAATAGTGACCCTTTATTTTAAATCTTAATTTCATTAAAATTTAGGAGGAACCTGTGCATGACACACCTCATCTGGCAGAGCTTTCAGTTCTGGAGGAACTCTCTTCACTTGACTACCATGCCACTAAAAAGGGTCACCTGGTCATCAGGCAGAGATATGAAAGGGAATGAATGCCTTGTTCCCTGGTAAAGAGATGGGAAACTTTTAGCTGTAGGCATATCTTTTAATGTGTGTTTAGGAGAGTTTCCTCAAACAACCCTTACAGAACAGCTTCTGTGAAGGAGGATGTGGTCATGGCAGATGAAATGACCTCCTCATGTCAGAATTAATGGAGTTCAGAGCTGTGTGATCACGAATGTCTATTGAAATTGAAATTAAAAACCCAAACCTCAAGGCACCCATGACTTCTCATCCCAGAGCCTGTTCCCCCGTGCTGTGATTCCGAACACCGCTGTCACCTCTGACAGCTTGTGCTTTCTGCAGGGTTTTTACCTTTACCCAGTGAAGTTTAGCATCCACAGAAGCTGGTGCCTGCTTTTCCTTCCACTTTCAGAAGGAAGCTGCTTTTCTCCCCGTTGTTTGCCTGCTCCAGCTCCCAGCCTGGCCTCTGGCTCTGGTGCTCACGTCTGCAAAAGCAGCAGCAGCAGATTTTCTTCTCTGAGAATCTTCAGCAGCATCTTCAAACTGGAATGAATCCCTTGATGGTCACATGCTGGATTTGGGGACTCCAAGTCAGAATGGCTCATTAGTTGCCATAGTTACAGACCAATTTTAGATTCTATTTCTTGCTGACATTTAGTTACAGGGAAGAGTGACAGCACTGGATGTTACCTCAGTACGTAAATTCTGTATGGCTTGTGTCAAAATTGACTGCACATGGAGTGTGTCAGGGCTGTGAGTGAACAATGTGAAAGCAGCACAGACTGACAGGCTTGGCTTCAGGAGTGATGCTTTGGAGGATCAGGAGCACTCTTCAGCTGAACATTATTTCTATAGAAAACACAAAATATCTACTTGAATAAAACAGTGATAGGTTTTTGTAAGAAAACAGAATGTTTTTTTCTCGAGGAACACTTATATTAATAGAAATTTTTCTTTCTAAAAGTTGATGAGTTCCACATTTATTTACTTTAGACACCTAAAAAATGAAAACATTTTTAAAAAAGTGTCCAGTTATGTGTGTTAGAGGACTGTAATATGGATGAATCAGCCAACAGAAGTACTGGAGGTTTCTGAGATGGGTTTGTAAGAGAATGTGGAAGAGAAGAACAGCATATTAGCAGTTCTGCCCATGATTTATCAGGCCAAACATCAGCCAGGGAGAAGCAAATGACTGAACCCACTCAGACCTGGATACCTAAACCAGCCCACAGTGCAACCTTTCCTTTCACCAGCTCCTCACTCAATGAAGCCAATGAAATTCATGTAGGTTTGTTTTCAACCTTTAGGTGCTTGAACTTCCAACCTTCCCATTAATGTCTTTGGGAGAGTGTCAGTGCTTGTTTCTTTTTCTAGGGAAACCTAAAGTTTTGATTTGCTATCAATTCCTATTGAAGCACATGACTCCCCAGCTTTTGGACTATGAAGTTGTGCAGCTGAGCTCAGGTTTATACTTAAACCTCATCCCCTCAGGTGGAGATGTACAAGCAGCACTTCCAAAAAGTCAAACTTTGTGTGAGAAACCTTCCACAGCTGGACCAATTTCTCATTTTCCAATCATTTGGACATTGTCTTTAAAAACAGATGTAACTTTTCAGAAGTCATTCAGTCAAGAGCCTCACTCCTTTTTAAAATACCAGTCTCTAAGGCTATACTTTCCTTTGTCCAGGCAAGAGTTGTCTACAGGAGCAAAGTAGCAGGGGAAAAAAAAAACTTGTATTATTGGTTTAGCTAAAATCAAAGAGATTTTTGGATGTAACTCTGCCAAGCTATGATGCATTGCCTCCTTTACTCTACAGAAGCGTGGGCCACTAGTTTTCACTCTGTCTGATGTGGCAGCTCAGCATCAGAGCCTGTTTTTTTTGAATTTCTGAGCAGCTGTCTACAGTGACTCAAAAGAAAGTGAAATATGGCAACAGCAATGCTGTCTAGTGGCAGTGATGTGGCAGCTTGGACACAGAGTTAGCTGGGATAGCTGGTGGATCCCACAAACATCCAGCACCCTTTTTTTTCTTCCTTTTTTTTGTGCTGGCTGAAGTACAAGTCAGAATGGAAAGAGCTGCTTCCAGAGGGTCATGGCCAGCTGGGACAGATCTCTGGAGGTAAGGTCCAGTCAGAAAGGAGCCCTGGCAACTGCACTGGAGCACCTGTGCAGATTTGGAGTGAGATGATTCCCCTTCATGATGCCTTTGGAAGGCTAAGAAATCAGAGTGCTGGGGAGAATTTGTGGTGTAGAGAAGGGAGCCTACTCTTTTCATCATCCATTCCCTCATCCCGAAGCAGTATTTTCATTTGCCCCCAAAAGGGTGTTAATTAGGGATTTCATCTGGTTCTTCTCCTCCTCACCACAAACTCCTAGGCTTTTTGGAGTAATTTACTCCATCTAACCACAGGAGGGTAAAAATCCCCAAGAATAAATAAAATCCACCTGTTTAGCTGAAATCCTGTGCATTTGCACCAGTTGCTCTTGAACCTCCCAGAAGCTTTACACATTGATTCCCTTTCCTCCCAAGATTTCAGCTTGTGTGACACAGACTCATTCTTCCCCTTACTGTTTCTATTTCTTCCATTGCCCTTTCTTTTTGCTGTTTATTTGCTTGAGAGCACTGTGACCCTGCTAACATCCTGCTGGTGACTGCAAACCCTTTTTTTTCTTCAGACTTACTCAATATTTCCTTTTATTTTTTTCTGACCCATTTTGATTGCTGTTCCCATGGCACGAAAATACTGCACACTGCCATGCTAAGGTGCCCATTGCAGCAGATTTCTGAGGGATCTGGGATCTCCAAGTGGTCACACAATTAAATACTTCTTCATTTGTGTTTGCCTTCCCCTCTGGATGACTTTTGCTGTGCCACTGATTGAGTCTGACAGGAGTTTTCATCCATGCAGTGGTGTAAAGAGCATGTAGATGTTCTTGCCATCAGAGCCAGTGGCAGTCTGGATGGCTGAGATTTTTCACTGATACGTCAGCACTGAAGAAGACAAATGTACAGTTTTATTGTGCAAACTGAGGACTATTTCTGCAAAAAATTTAAAGCTCCTGGGGAACCATTTCCTTAAAGAAGCTTGTTGTAGCCTCTCACGTCTTCCCTGTATTTTGTGTGCTCTTCGTCCTTGTCAGTTAAATAATTTCAATTAGTGAATGTACCAACTTATTACAGCAGTGTCAGCCAAGAAAAGGGGCTGGGGGATTCACTGGAAACATTATGAAATATGTGGTCTCTTTTTAAAAGACTTTGATGTTTAGAAAGATGAGGCAGATGTGGTTGGAGAAGAAGACACAACCACAGAGAGAGATCCTTGCAGGAAACTCTCAGAGAAAGGGAACAAAACAATTAGCTAAGGGACAAGTCCTCACCCTGTGTACACAGTTTCATTGGGAACTTGCAAATACCTTTGGAGATCTCAAATGAGCTGCTCAGGTGGCTCCTGCTTCAGGATCCCAGGCAAACCCAGGACTGCAGCACCTCAGGCACATCACCAAGCATTTAGCAGAATTTACAACCAAGGAAATACTGTCCAGGAGGAATCATGAGCTGCTCCCATTAGTTTAAACTGTCTGCTTCCAAAAATAAAATATTTGTGCTGTTTGGGAGAGGTTTAGCATTGCACTGCCTCAGAGCTGGGTGTAATTGAGAAGGGGTTTTTGTGTTTTCTCTTCCACTGCAGTATCTCACAGAGAGGTACTTCTGTCCTGGAAAGGTTCAGACACTAATGCTGGGAAACTTGTATTTTACTTATAGGCCTATAAACTCCTTCAGAAATTTATGGGGGTTTTTTATTGCTCAAAGCTCATGTTTGTTATCTTTCTGGACATAGTCATCTGACCAACTGAATGACTTGGAAGATATAGAAAAAAGACCATTTTTTTCTTTATATAGAGATTTTCTCTAAAATGAAAATTAGTTCTCCATTATTAAATCAGGCTCAGGAGTCAGGATTTCTGTTTGAAATACTGGTATCAGGGCTTTTTCCTAAGGAGACATTTTAGATAAGTGACATTGCTTGCTCTTTGTCAAACTACAGGTATATTCTGTAGGTATGGTTACAATGTTTGCCTGCCCTTCAAGCAAAATAAATCTTTAAAAATACTTCATTGAGTGATGTAAGAAAAGGCAGAGCATGGCCACTTGCTTGCAGGTGTTTCCCAACTTTTGGCCTTAGGTGTTTTTCTCTACAGATGTCATTCTTTTTCTGAGGGCTTCCAAAAACTTTCAAACAGTTGCTTCTGAGCAGGACAGCTAAAATCATTGTTTCAGGTGTTTGGCTGGAAGGTTACCTGATTCACAGTCAATTTAAATGTCCTTAATTTTATTTACTAATTTTAGGTACAAGTATTTCAGTCCTTTTTTTCTTCATTCCAACATATTTTGATGAGGGAGAGGGGAGGAAAGACAAAGTAAAATGAAAGAGAGAGGAGACAAGGAATCTTCCACGGCCCTCATTGAAATCTTTGGCTGACAAAAGTATCACTTTTTTTTATTTTATTTGAAACTCTAAATTATTAACTAGATTAAAAACAATACTTCACCTGTCTAATTGTCTTTTAACCACTGAGATCAGCAGTCCCACAGCAATTTCCATGGGACCAGCTGGTCACGAGTGGGCAGCACCACCTGCTGGCATTGCAGGCTGGAATAGTGCAGAGCTGCATGGAAATGGGAGGACAGCATCCCTGGGACAGATCGTGTGTGGAGACAGAGCTTCAGGGATGCTCCTGCTCCTCAGGGACCCCACTGATCTTCACTGCACCTGGCACTCGACCCAAATAAATGACTGCTCTGGGTAGATCTTGGTGTGCTGCAGTCACAGAGAGATTAGGAGGAGAAATTTGATCTCGGTGGATTATGTGGCATGAGATATCTAGCAGGAGGTATTTCAGAGATAGGAAATTGCTGCTAAGTGATGAAGTTGAGTTTTTCCCCTTTCTGCAGCTCAAGTTCTGAGTCTCAGTCTGCACTCAGTGCAGGCAGGAGTAAGCACCTCCACAGGAGTGCTGGAATGCATCTGTTGGAAAAGAGAAACATAAAACATCACTTTTAAACCATGTAATAAGCAAGGGTGATTATTGTGAGTGACTATAAAGAATGTGTGGGCAGTTTCCTGAAGTTTCCCATGCTGGCCAGTTGCTCACCCAGCTGAGATGCTGGGATGGGAGGACTGGCCCAGGGCAGGGATACACAGCAGAAACAAACACTCCAGGACTTCTCCAGTGTTTCTCTGAGCTTCCTTTGGCTTGTTTTTCAAAATTCAGGGGTTGTTGTGATTCATAAATGGTTGCTGTAAATTCTCTTGGGAGGAGATGGACGGGAGCAAATGATGAAATTCCCTTCCTTGCTAGGGTTCACTGCCAATGCCAGGTTATAGCAGTGTGCCAGTGGCTGCAGATCACAGCCTCTGCTCATCACCTACCAGTGAAAAACAGGCAGTGGGAAAATTTTAGATTATAAATGAACAAATGCTGAGGTAAGGTGGAATAAAATTCCAATTTCTAGTCCCTTTTGGCTGTCATTTCCATGCCAGTAGTGCTACAGTAGGTGCAGGAGTTGTGCTTACCTTTGAGAGGGCTGATACTGAAGGTGCTCTGTGGTGCTAGTGCTGCCCATCAGAATTAGCTGTCATCTGTGGTTTCTGACTCTTTTCACCCTTATTTTTTCTTCCTTTTAATTAATTAACACACATCTGAAGTGTTTGAGCATGGCCAGGAGGGACATTCAAGACCCACTAAAGGCTCTGTGGTGTTTGGGCAGTTCTGTGGAGCTGCAGGGACAATATTTAATGACACACTGGTTTAACCCATCTATTGCTCAAAAGCTCAAGTGGTGCTGACTCCAATCCCACTGTGCACAAACAGAGATAATGAACTTACTCAGTGGGTTCATGCTTTATGTTACTGCTGTCAAATACTGTCAAATATTTTCTTACCAAAATCATTGGCTGTCTAAACCGCTGAGTTTATACAAGTCCATTGTAATTTGTGCTGTGATTAAATATTAAACCAGAGTGTATTTTCAGAGGAAATAAATTTAGAGCAGGCCACTTTGTTCTTTAGCAGAGGATCTCTGCTCCTGTCAGTTAGGAGATGGAGCAAGCATTCTTCCCTCTAATAGCATAATTATTCAAAAGTGTTTGCAAGGATCTCTTTGTAGAATTTGTGCTCTACACAAATGGCTTTAGTGTCATTCTTTCATTTCAAAATGTGGGTAAGAGTTTTCAGATTCAACAGCTGACAAAGTGATGCAGGTTTGCAAAGAAAATTTGGAGGAGGAGGGGCCCAATTGCATGGGGAAGAATTATCCATTTATATAGAAATCTCAAACTAAAGATGCTTTGCCATGCCATTTAATTTTAAAGATTTAGAGAAGCCTTTTCTTAATTTCTTAAGAGATTTTAACAGTTTAACTTCACAGAGACCTGAGGTCTGCTTGCAAAGCAAACAATTAAGATTAGATACCATCAGTTTCTTAAGCATTTTTAACACACAGCAGAAAAAGCTTTTATTCTAATAAATGTCATTTTTAGCATTAATAAGTTTTGAAAAAGAAACCTACTTATTTTAGTAAAATTGCAGCGTTAGATGGAAAGAAAGCTGCACTCTTGGGTTTGATCAGGTGTAGCTGCTGATGCCTTGGCACGTGGGCACTTGTGTGTGTGTGTGTGTTTCCATGTGAATCCTAGGAAAACATCGACTTTTAACTTTCACTGTCATTTTCCTACAAATTCCCATGTCATTCTTCTCCTTTTCTCCATCTTATTAGCACAGATTGGAAATCACCCTTCTCTGAGGAAGCCACAGGTAATCCTGTGAATACATAATGTTTGCTGTGATCTAATGGGATGTTTTTCCCCATGCAAAGGTTTCCCAGGCCTGCACCTCGAGTGCACCGAGCACATCATTAATCCAAAACATGTGCTTGCTGAATTTCCCCCTGAGCATGCAGCAGAAATGTCTGTGTCTTTGTGCTGAGTGAGTTTGATGTGCTCTAGTGGCCGTGAGTGATGAAGAGGAAGGAGGGATTCTCTTTGATAACATCGCCAAGTCTGCCATCGACCCCTTCGACACCTCCTCGGGCTCGGTGCAGCTCATCGCCATCAAACCCGTGGCTCTCCCTGCTGTCCACGCTGCTTCAGAGAGGAGCCAGGACTCTGCCATCATCAATGGGGAGGTGAGGACTGCCTGATAAGTGTCTCCAGGTGTTACCTTGGCTGCAGCCACAAGTGGAACCATCTTAACCCTGTTAGAGTGGAGGGCTCCCAGGAGCTTCTCACCTTTATGCCCTATAAAGTTCCATTAGCACTGTGGGCTCAGAGATCTGAGAGTTTAAGATCTGCCCTTTCACAAGGCACCTGTGAATGCCTGCAGCCTTGGAAGAGGTGACTTTCTGTATTCCTACTCTCCCAGTGTCCCTCTCTCCTATTTATAAAAATGAGTCATGAAGGCAGAAAGCAGAAGATCTTTTCCTACCTGAATTCTGTGGCTGGGTATGAAAATACGTGTAGCTCACCTGGGTGCCAAGCTGATCTTCCTACACTGAGCAATAAATCTTGATCAGAGTGAGAAGGGGGACAGTGGGACCATGGCCTTGCTCTGCACTCCAGCCTGTGCACAGAGGGTGCAGCTGTTTTGAAGGAAAAAAGGGGGATGGCAAAATATCTGCTCCAGATGCTGGCCAATACTTTAACTGCAATACTTATACTCATGTTTGATGTAGATTTAATCAAGACCAGTCCTTTTACAAAGGACTGAGGCTTTTATGAATCTGTTGAACATGATGGGAACAAGCCACAGAAATGTCTTGTTTACAAACTCACACTGTAAACAGTCATTTAAACAGTTAAACAGTTTAAAGGCAGCAGGCAGGGCTGCTGCCAGGGACACCATAAAAGACGGTGTCATCAGAGGTCCCATGTGGGCCTGGATTATTGCAGCCTGTTGTGCTCCATTTCATACTTGTACTTTAAGTCCTGATGTGCCATGTAGCTTCCCAACTTGGAGAAAGGCTTATTCAGCTCTCAGCATCTCTTTTCTGTAAGGCAGCAGGATGACACTGCTGGTGCTGCGTGCATCCTTACACACACACACACTTCCCAGAGTTCCACAAGACCGAGAATTCGACTCTGGAAGCACAAAGCTCAAGTAAATTCCTGATTTCCAAGGAAAACTTGCAGTTTGAAGCAGAAGGGAAGTTTTCTCAATAGTTAGGAGAAACCATGGCACTAAGCTGTACCAGGAGAGACCAAACACCCCTTTAAGTTTCCTCTCTGACAGGAGCCCGTAAGAGGTCTGCAAGAAAGCGAATAACCAAAAGAAACAGTGATGGCATTTCACTGGAGTTCTTCCCCAGCCACCAGAGGGGGAAGGTTTTGAAGGTTTTAACTTATTCTTCACTTATTGAAGGTTTTGTGTAGTCAGGGGCAGTGTCTGTGTAGCCCAGCAGAGTTCCCACGGGTGAGCCGAAGCACGCGCGGCGTTGGGTCGCGGCAGTTGGCTGACACCACCCGTGTTTTTCCTCAGTGGGTGTCTCTGAGTCACTGTTGTAACGGTACACAGTTTTTTTTTTTTAGGCTAAAATTATTTAACCATCTGCCAAGCCATAAAAATGCAGCGACTCTGTTCACTTGCAGTTCCTCGCCGCTTGCAGATGGCGCGGTGTGGTACGGAGGGATGACACACGCGGCGCATCAAACACGCGCTGACAAGATCCTTTGGAGGTAGCCAGCCCACCAGCAGCCCTGAAACATCTTCTTGCCTTTTAGGTGAACAAGGCTTTGAAGCAGAAGTCTGATATAGAGCACTACCGCAACAAGCTGCGCCTGAAAGCCAAGAGGAAAGGCTACTATGATTTCCCACAGGTTGATAATAGCAAGGCGCTGACAGACAGGAAAAGGATGTATGAGAAAAACCAGAAAGAGCTTGACCACATTTTGGATCCAGATGCAGATGTCTCATCTCCATTTGCTGAGCCTAAGAACAGGTGAGAGTTTCTGTTTGCAGTTCTTCATCTGGTAGGAGAGTTGATGTTTTGGGAGACAGAGGGGACATTTTAATGAGCCAGGTGGTTGTTGTATGGTCACTGATCCCTTCTGCTTTGTGAAGAAAATTCATACAGCCCGTGGAAAGCATGTCCTCTGGTAAAGCTGCAGGGTGGTTAAAAATAAACAAATAGAAAGAAAAAAAAAATAAGGGGAGGGGCAAGTTCTTGTGAGTCATTCTCAAAGGTAAACAGAAAGTGGTAGTAATGTTTCTGGTGATACTCAGAGCAGACTTTAGGCAGGAAATTAGCATCTGAATTGGATCTTCTCCAAAATACAGTGGTGTTACTATTTTATCATTGTTTTAATCTGAATGTAACTATTGCAGTGGGCACGAGATAGCAGAGCCAGAGCTTTGGCCATGTAAGTCCTGCAGGTGGTGTCTGTAAGGGGGTGTGTGTGCCTGCTCCTGGTGATCTTCCTGTGCCTTTAACAGAGAAATTCATCATTTGCTCACCTGTCACGTGAAGCTGGCATGTTGTATAACAGTACCAATGTTTGATTAACACTTCACTGTCTCCTGAGGATGGCATTCAAAACCCCATTTTAGAAATGAGGGGGGAGTGCAGGTGCTGAGTGTGCCTGAGCTGCTGCCGTGGGCGGGTGCTCTGTTGCTGGTGCTCTCTGAAACACAAACTGGCACATTGGAAAGAGGAGATCACACCAGTCCTACCCCAAGAAAGGTACAGTGTGCAGATTCCTCTTCCTTGGAAGTTCTGGAGGTGTGAAGGAGGGTAAGAGAGTGTGTTTGGCATTACACCTTGCACAGGAGGGCTCTGGTTCTTACTGTAATCAGGGACTAGCATCAGCTGATCCATGAGAGAAGAAGGGATGCTGAAGCACCTTTCCTCTGGAAATGGCCCTCATGCCTGGAGATGCAATCTTGCATCCCATCTCCTGGAAAGCTGAGACTGAAGTTTTCCTGTGAGAGTAAACTGATTGCAATCAAAGTGCTGCTGGTGACACAGGCATTGCACACAGCGAGACTGCAGCAGTTACCCTCGGGGCACAGGGATGAAAAAGGCTGTAATGGGAATTACAAAAGCTCTTTTGGCTTGGGAAAGCTGAGATCAGATGTATTTCTGTAGGTCTAGAGCTCAGTGGCTGAGGGATGCTGCCCTGCAAGTGCTGTTTGCCAGGGCTGTACTGAAGAGAAGTTCTTGCTGGATTTCCTGGTGCAGTTTTCCAATTTATTGTGCGCTGAGAAGGTGAGAGGTGGAGCCTGTCCTGACATGGGAGCCCTGCTCTACACACTCTGCCCAGGAGGTACAGACAGAGCCCAGGGAATGCATTTAGCCCAGGGAGCTGGAAAGTTCCCTCAGTTTCACCTTGGTGTGGCTGTGACTGATTGAGCCATTCATTTGGAGGCTCATTACGTGTCACATGGCTCACAGGAGATGTTTATAACATTGAACTGAAGCTTTAACACAACCACACTTTGTGCTTTCTGTTAAATACACTGGTGTGTGTTTGCTCACGTGCCAGTGTGTGGGAAGACCCCACACATTTTTTCCAGGATGTTTCCCAGTGTGTTGTGTAAATCTGTCACAAAGTCTGTTTGAGACAGTGATCCCTGGCATGACAGAAACTGCTGGGACAAAGGTAAACTCTTGTGGAGAAGGGATTCCAATGGGTAACTGCACCATAACAGGCTGGCTGCTGGATTTGTTAAATATATAAATACAAACTTACAAATATACATTATTATATATTGTTATATAACAATATATATTGTTAAATATATCACCTGCATCCCTACAGAAGGAGAGAGAACTGCTTCTGATGCACTTTCTGTGAAGACACAGAACACAGAATGAACTTTACAGATGCTGCAGATGTTTACAAACAAACCAGTTCTGAATTCTGTGCTGAAATTTCCATGCTCAGACCTGGAACTGAATTTGATATGCTGCAGCACACATGACAATTATTGTCCTTATTTTCCTAACAAAAATAAGATGGCTAAAATGTTAACACTGCTGGAGGAAAACCTTGAAAAATACTACAAGGTAAAGTGGGGTTTGGTTATTGATAAACAAATCAATAAAATTGCATTTCTGTAATGAAATAAAATTGCTTTAAAAGAAATCTGGGTAAGCATATAATTGAAAAAAACCCCTAAACTTCTGTATTTTTCAGTTTTGAATCATTGTTACAAAAACTAAAACTTGAAAAATTGCAATTTTTTAAATGATATAATGAAAAACTAAGTCAAAGATTTCAAAGTTTCTAGGAAAAAGGTCCATTCTACTCTTTTCTGTTCTGCATCTATTCCTCTAACTTCATTCACATTGTTACAACACTTCCAAAACATATCAGAAAATAGGGATGCAGTTGATTACTCAAGGTTACCTTTATATTTCAGATTAATTTTGAATTGTATTTAAAAGTGATTTACAAACATTGCTGCCAAATGATTTGATTTTTTTCCAGAACAAAGAGCTTTGTGCACTAGGTACCTTTCAGTCATCAGCACCATAATCCTCATATTTTAAAACATTCCAGATGTGTTCCCAGAAGGCCTTTCCTAACCCATTTGGATGCCAGTTGTTCCTTCTCATACCTCCTTTCTCATTAGTAAAACTCTCTTAAATGAGGCAATTGGCAATCTCAAGGTAATTTTTAAGAGCCTACTGATGATATGCACTATTCTTGGATTTTCTTTAATAGTTTGTAATCAGGTCAAGAATCTTCATGTATTACAGAGCTGTATATTTGAATCCCTTAGAAAATATACCACAATTGCCTCAACTAAGTGGACCTATTGTAAAACATATGAAATTTTAGAGACCTTTGATGTAAGAAGATGAAGACTGTCAGTTCTGATAACCCTGTTTTCTGGTAATATCAACAGTATATTCAGAGAAAGACTACATAGGAAGAAAGAGTTTATTCAGTATTATTTTTGTAGGGGAAACTTATTCCAAAAGCTCTGTTTGTCTTCTGCTTTGGCAGTACATTTGGGACTTTCAAACACGAGCATGGTGATTTGTGATCAAAGGTCACACAGAAGTTTTTGAAAGTTGCCTTAAAACAAAGTACGTGCCTGAGTAATTTATTTAATCAGAAGCCTGAAATTGATTTTTTTTTCCCCTTACCTTTTATCCTATCTGATCATGTAAATGTCCTACTTTCTGGATTTCTGCAAACCAGTTTCTGCTGCTCTAATCTGTCAAGGCAAAAAGTGCTGTTAACAAGATCTGGAATAACTGAAGAATTATTTATCAGTGAATTAATTTGGACTGCCTTGTCTGTTCATTTTGTTGATGGTTCTTGAGTTCCAAGTCATGAAGTGACTTGGAACTGTGACTTCAGACATAATAGTGCAACTTGTCTTACTTCACTGTGAGCACTGGCAGGTCCCCTGTGTAAAATAAGCAGCACACAGACATGTTAGATGACCTGATCTAATTTGAATATTCTGAATGGAGTAATTGCACAAGGCAGAAAAAAAAAAATAGCTGGGCTAGGCAAAGATAACTTTGTATCAGGCTCTAGCAGTGTAATTACTGTGTTAATAAATGAAGCTGGCATGCCATTATTTCATCTGTTACTGATCTACTTAAGGACCAGTGCTTCTCTGGAGTGTGCAGCCAAATGAGTAATGGCCAGATACAGTATGAGAACAACTCATAAACTCTGCTGGTGTAGAAGTAAATTAAATCCTTCTCAAAATGTAGCATAAAGTTCCTGTACCCCCTTTTTTCAAACCCTCCTGCAGACACGCATATGCTGTGCATTTAACAGAGGGATGCTGCATTTGTTTATTTATAATCAGCAACAGGGGCAGAAATGGTTTTGCTGGGTTAGGGTTAGGTAATTCATCATCAACGAGAGATGATTGGGTATTTTGGATATTCAGCTTTATTCTGCCTTTCTCTGGCCTTTGCTGCCCCTTGGTTTGGAGCAGGCAGCAGTGGAAGCTCGATGCCCAGGGATGAGCAGCACTTTGTCCCAGTGGAGCAGCTGAATCTCAGGAAGCACAGCTCTCTGAGAAAGCTCTGGCCAGTTACCAAACTGCCTATTTAAAACCAGCATCTTGCAAGCAGTGTCCTCCCACTACTGTTTCCTCCTGTTCTCTTTGCTGGGGGTTTGTTTCAGTGGAGTGTTTTTCTGCTTCTCTCTCATTGCTCAGGATCAGCAACCAAAATCTCCACTCCCCATCTGTGTGTGTGGGAGATTTTCTAATATTTTTTTATTTTTATTTTTTATTTTTATTTTTATTTTTATTTTTATTTTTATTTTTATTTCTATTTTTATTTTTATTTTTATTTTTATTTTTATTTTTATTTTTATTTTTATTTTTATTTTTATTTTTATTTTTATTTTTATTTTTATTTTATTTTTATTTTATTTTTATTTATTTTAATTTTTTAATTTTTATTTCTATTTTTATTTCTATTTCTATTTTTATATTTTATTTTTATTTTTTATTTTAAAATTTTATTTTTATTTTTTATTTTTATATTTATTTTAATTTTATATTTATATTTATTTTCTGTTTAATTTTATTTTATATTTTTATTTTTATTTTTTATTTTTAGATATATTTATATTTATATTTATATTTATATTTAATTTATATTTATATTTATATTTGTTTTTATTTTATTTTTCATTTTTATTTTTAGATTTTATTTATTTTTTATTTATTTTTATTTTCTATTTTTATTTTTATTTTTATTTTTATATTTAATTTTTATTTTTAATTTTTATTTTAATATTTTATTTTTATTTTCATTTTTATTTATATTTTATTTCTTATTTTTATTTTTATAAATTTGAGTAATATCAACTGAAGTTAAAAGGGGTCCTGATACTTTCTTGGGACATATTTCATCTGATAAGCTGCCACCTACAATGTCTGTGTCTTTTATGCAACTTTTATTTTCCTTAAACCATAAAAAACAATGAATCATCTCTTAATAAGTTTACTGTTTCCTAGCACTTGATATCTATAGAAAGATTTTCCTGCAAAAAAGTGGCATTTTTATGAAATCATAATTTTAGAATAAAGGTGAGTATTGACAACTACTGCCTGTCATTAATTGCTTTTTTCACTTCCCCATTTTTCTCGTCTCATGTTTTGTAGGCAGCCACTGAAGAACTCGGTGTACAGGAGCAGGCAGTCCCTGAACAGTCCCAGCCCAGGGGAAACTGAGATGGATCTTCTGGTGACTCGAGAAAGGCCCAGACGTGGCATCAGGAACAGTGGATACGATGTAAGGTTATTGGCTTTGGGCAGTGAAATCTGCTCAGCAAGGTCTTAACTTGCCCTAAACCCAGGAACTATTGATAACAGATTGCCTTGAGATGTTCAGTGTTACAGGGGTTTATGTGCACTCAGCATCCTGAAAAAAGCTCAGACTCTTTCCTGTATCACTCTACATCATTTTACAGTCTGAAAGGCAAACAAAACGTTTGCCCAAACCCCATTATTTGCCAAAGTATTAAAGCTTGAATTTAGATAGCTCCTCTAAGTGTGTGGCTATTTGACAATGAGATTTCTTCACTGCAATTAAAATCCTCTGTTTGTTCTGAGGAACAGCTTGGAGCTGCTCTCTTGATTCAGAAGAATGAACAGAAATCCCAGCTCCTGGGATTTGCACCTAAATCCCAGTGTTTTGTGGGAATCCCCTGAGGACAGGCATTGTCCTCTTGCTCCCATCAGACCTGGGAGAGTTTTTTCAGGTAAATGTCAAACTCAGCCAGAGGTGATGCTGCTTTATGGTCCAGGGAGCTCATGCAGCCAGCACAAGGCAGGGGAGTTGTCTTGTGCAGCCTGAACAAACCCTGGGTGCAAGCTGATGCTGTGTGAACCCAGAAGGAGAATTAAAAACAGCTCCCAACACCAGGGCAAGGCTGAGTTTTTCAATCCCTTGTCATGTGTATGAACTACTGTAGCTCAGCCCTGAAAATCAGTCCCTAGAGAAGGTCTAAACCATTCTGGAAAACAAGGAATTTCACATGTGCCCATCCTCCAAACATTGTAGGTGAAAAAGCATTTTTTGGGGAGGGGGGGTTTCACTGTCAACCCTCTCTCTGCCAGGAATGTGTTTTTAGCAAGGTGAAAGTACCAAAGTTTGGGAGGATGTGTTCAGGAAAGTTTAAACCTTTCACAAAATTCTTCAGGGCTTGTTGCAGTTGTCAGATTTCTGAAATGATTCCCTGCATTTGGACACTTTCCATCAGACTGCAGGAGACATGTGGGGCCCTGTGAGTGGGCACACTGGGACACTGCTTTCTGAGGAATTAGGATGCCAATAATATGCTAATAAAAGCTAGTTTTTCACAGGGGATATTTCCCTGGAAATCAATGTTGAAAACGTTCTGGGAGCAGGCACGGCAGCAGATTAAAAAATGTATATTTCAATATATTGTGTATGCTATATATAAAGCATATTTTAAAGAAAATTTGTTAAAACCCTTGAAAGTAGATTAATGAGCTTAGGCAGATTCTGAAGTGTCCTCAGAGTAATTATAAACCCTGAGACGTGTGCACATCACAGAAAAAATTGCATTTGCCTTGCCTCTGGCTCTGCAGTCGAGCGACCTATCCCTGGCAGAGTGCTTTAGTGATAAGTTACATAAAATCCCTCTGCCCAATGCACTGCAGATTCACTGCAGTGCACCTCTAACAGCTCTGAGTGCATTTCCCATCCGAAAGCACAGAAATGCCACAGGGAAAATGGGACAGGATATTGAAATTTAGCTGCCAAGCCTGAGCCTGCAGCGTGGGCTGGTCCCTCGCTCCCGTTTGAGGCTCCTGGAGCTCTGTCTGACAGGATTCGTCTCCCAGGATACCCAGGGCTGGGCACTGATGGCTGCATCCATGGAATTCGTGGATCTCACCAACTAAACACATCTGGAAATGTGACCTCTGAAAAAGGGCTGGTTTGAGTGCTGTGCCCTTTCTGTTTCACCTGCTACCTGTTTTTGACATCTGATTTATCACATTAAATATCCCACTCTTCCCAGACTGCTGCTAGCCTCTTCCTCCCAGCAGCAAGTCCTGCCAGAGAACAGGGAAATTTGCATTTTATAAGCAGTGCCAAATAATTCAGTGTATGAATCAAATAGTTCCTATTGCCTTCATGTCGTGAGACTTTTTTTACCACATAAAAAATTGTGGGGGGAATTTGAGTTGTTGCCAGAACACCCAGGTTATGTGTTGAGGCTTTTCTTCCCAACAATAGTAATACTGTTATTTTTAAAGAGAAGAGCTTGAGATCTCCCAGATTCTTTAAGAAAACTCCTTAAGAACTCCTCACTCATGTGCACAACCACAAGGTTGCCTTTCAATAACAAATTTCTAAATGGTTTTCTAAAATACTTCATTCATACTTTTCTAAAAATACCTCATTCTCTATAATTAATTTTTGTGATACTTCTCTGAATCATGGTTCTGTTTCTCAGAGCTAAAAAACTGGTAAAGAAAGGATAAAGATACAATATTTTACATTTCTCCATATGGAATATGTAGCTTTTAATATTATTTTGGAGTGTAGGTTCTATTTGATGTTCTTGGTACATTATTTGCCTTGGTAGTGTCTTTTACAAATGAATTATTATTGAACAGTACCTAACTTTCCATTTGAAAGAATCCCAACAGGTTTTGCTATTATCACCTTCAAGTAGGAATTAGAATAAGGAGGCTTTATTAACATATTTATTATTTTCAACAAGTTCATGAACAACTGTATGGACAGTAAATGCCACAACGAAGGATTCTAGAACCTCTAGGCTGCTCTAATGAGATTTATACCAGAACAGAAAATATTTAGGCTGTTTTTGGTGTAAAAGGAAGAAAATAACTTTATTATACATGTCTAAGAGATCAATATACAAAAGAATTCACGGGCATAATTTTGTTGATGTAGCTAAATTATGCATCCCAAAGCATTATAGATTAATGTTCAAATAAAGAATTTCACTGATAAAGTTGCAGCAGCAGAATTATTCAAGAGATATAGAAAGTCTGTCTCTCACTGCAGGGTTTTGTTTGCTTTCTTCATGTTCCTTCTATTATACAGTAACGCTGTATGTTTTTATGTAATGGTTGCATTAATGCATAGTGACCTCTATTTATGAGAGCTACGTGCTCCAGTTGATAGGACAGCAAATGGGATAGGATGAATTGAAATGGATTTTAAAATATGAGGAGAAGAAATGATTATTACTCTCCTCCAAAATCTTCTTGTCAGCTTTTATATTGCTAAATCAAAGCTGCCTTAATGTTGGCTGCTGATATGTATCTTGTATACATGGGGTATATTTTAAACATTCTGTGGGGGTCTAATGGCTTCACCAGTGAGCTGTAGTAGAAAATCTGATTTATTTCAGCATTGGGTACTAATAGGTCTATGTGGGATTCCACTCACATTTTTACAGGCATGAGCAAATAGAAGAACCATGGTTATTGATCATCCAGTCAGGACATTATGATTTCAGAGGCTCTTCGGCTGCACTTACACAAACTACCATTGCATTTTATAGTCAGCCTTCTAAAATGTGTCTGATTTTTATTTATTGTAGCAACACAAACAATAATGGAATCAAAAGGCAGCAAGAAAATGAAGGGAAAGTGTTTAGTTGAAGATTTCATACGAAGTTTTTCCATTTAAGATCATTTGGTGCAGTTGCATTCTCCCTTTCTCAATCTGATGTGTGTAAGCCTGAATTTGACCTTCTGGTTTTGAATTTAGATAATATACTGTATAACCATGACTATAGAAGTTATAGTTAAATTCTAATGTGAAAATGATTAATTTTTATCTCAGTTTTTCTCAATATATACTGCTGTATTTTCATTAAATACAAAATATAGCTATACTTAAAACAGAGAAAACAAATTAATATTTTACTTAGTTTTATCAGTTTCCACTAGCAATGTACCTCTTTTCTGAGTGGCTGATTACAGAAGAAGAAAACTGGTTTGATATTTCCCTCTGAGAAGGAAGAAATATGTATTATGATTGTCCTATTGTTTGTAAAACTTAGGGGCACAGCCACTTATGTATTCAGGTCTAGAAAAGCACTATTACAGGGGGAAAAAAGCCATACTGGGAGCTACAGAACACTGAAATGATCAGGATAGTGCTGGAATTTTTAACAAGAACATCCTGTTGCATTCTTTTATTTATGGCTATTTTAAACACCAGCACAGTTCTAACCACATGCTATATATAGAAGGAGGCACATATCCTATTGCTCATCCCAGTTATCCTGGCATAGTCGATGCATTTTACAGATATTTAAAGAATTATAAGGAATCAGTTGCTGGTTTAAAACATATGTTTTTAGAACTCTGGGCTGTAAAACTGATCTTACAAAATACAGATGAAGTGTGGCTATTCCACTTTCAACTTCTTGCAATGTGATGATTTTTCTCTGTCGTGGAGTTGCAGCCAAAATAAAATCAGGGAGGTGATTTCTGTTTGTACTTCTGTGTACAGAAGGAATCACTCTGAGTGCAACCCTCCAAGCTGAGCTGCCCAAGCACTGTCTGCTCACTGAAGAGTGTTCTTCACTCCCTGTTCCCAGCTTAACTTTGCATAAATACCTGTAACTCCTGTTTGGGGGCTGACTAAGACCCCTGAGCTGGGCCAGGGTGTTCCCTGCAAGGGGCAGGACGGAATTTGTGGTGACACTGTTAGGAAGTTCAGAAAAACTCCTAAACTTTAGTTCTTCAGAAATCACAGTGTGAGAGCATGAACAAAGGGATCTCAGTCTCTCTAGCTGTAATAAGCTGTCCCTTGTAAGGGCTCCTTGACAGTGATGCCACTATTTAGGGAGCCGTACTCTTCCTGGCACAGTTGCACTGCCATTGATACCACAGCTAAGACAAGAATTCAAACATTAATTCTAATTGTTTTTAAGTGAGTCATTGACAGTTTAATCTGCTACAGAGTGTCCCTGCTACTTGTCCCAGCAGACAATGTAGACTATAAAAGGCTGTTATTCTCCCCTCCACCATATAATTTCTTTCTGATATTTGTCGTGCATCTGCGCCGTCACAATTCCTGATTTGTACGTTGTTCCATCTGCGTTGGAGCGCGTTGAAGCAGCGCAAACTCTGCCTCGTAAAGCCTTTGACACGCACTCTTATTCCCCCCACCAGACCGAGCCTGAAATTATAGAAGAAACAAACGTTGACCGCGTCAACGAGCCGCGGAACTACGGCCGGGCGCGGCAGGCCAAGGGCCACTCGGAGACGTCGACGCTGAGCTCGCAGCCGTCCATCGACGAGGTGCGGCAGCAGATGCACATGCTGCTGGAGGAGGCCTTCAGCCTGGCCTCTGCTGGCCACGGGGGCCAGCCCCGGCAGGACGCCTACGGCTCGGCCCCACACCTGCCCTACAGCGAGGTGGTGACCAGCGCCCCGGGCACCATGAGCCGGCCGCGGGCGGGCGTGCAGTGGGTGCCAACCTACAGGCCAGAAATGTACCAGTACAGCTTGCCAAGGCCCGTAAGTGGAGCTTCTCCTCGCTGCACTGTCATGTCAGAAAGGTGTTTCTATTCTGAGACGCTTTGGTTTATTTTATTTTATTTTATTTTATTTTATTTTATTTTATTTTATTTTATTTTATTTTATATTTTATTTTATTTTATTTTAGTCTATATTTTATTTTATTTCATTTTATTCTATATTTTATTTTAGTCTATATTCTATTCTATTTTATTCTATTCTATTCTATTCTATTCTATTCTATTCTATATTTTATTTTATTTTATTCTATATTTTATTTTATTTTATTTTATTCTATATTTTATTTTAGTCTATATTTTATTCTAGTCTATATTCTATTCTATTCTATTCTATTCTATTCTATTCTATTCTATTCTATTCTACTTTATTTTGTTTCATTCTATTCTATTTTATTCTATTTTATTTTATTTTTCTTTTTTCAATTTATTTATTTATTTTTTTAGAATAGTCCCATTTATGTGTTGAAAACCAGATGCAGCAGAAAATAATGTGTAGGGTGGTGTATATATATATATATATATATACATATATATACACATATACATACATTTATATATTTATATATTTATATATTTATATATTTATATATTTATATATTTATATATTTATATATTTATATTTATATATATACACATATGTGCTTGCCAATTCACCTACCTAGACTTTGCATTTGGGAGTTTGAGTGAGCCACACACGTACACCGTGAGGGACACACTTCTGTCTTAGCAGCAAGGTTGTCTTGTCAAAGTTGTACTAAGAGTTAAAAGGATAGGCTGCAGGCTGTTCTTTTCAGCATGTTCAGCAGATCCCAAAGTTGCTTGCACATCTCCTTCTACTCAGTGAATGCATTTTAGGAAGCAATGTGGTTTTATGGAGTAACTGTGGTGACATCTGGGTAGGGAACACCAACACTTGTGCATCACTGGAGTGGCTCATCACTGAAGAGCAACCTGAAATGTGGGCTGTTATTGGCACTCTTGCACTTACAGGTGTTGGCTTGAGTCTCTAGAGAAGAAATTTAGTGAAGATTTAATTCCACAGGTCTCTTAGTTGACCTCATAACTCACTTTATCCTTCATTTTCTAACCTCAAGCAGCAGCTAAGGCGTCCTCGCCTCTCAGACCTAACACGTGAATTTAGGAACTTAAACCCAAGGGTGGAAATTGTTAATGGAATTTTGTAGGTGACAGAAAATCTAGACAGCAGTGACACTGGCACTGTGCACACCCTCATGTGTGAAACTGCCCCTGAGTTCCCACTTATGGTAATGTGAAACTCAATAATATATTTTCCTTTATGTCAGATACAAGTCAGAGGTGATTGCTTTCATATCAGAAATAGCCCATCCAACAATACCACTGTGATAAATTGTTCATTTTAAGGCTTTTTTTGGTCAGAAATTTTTTTTTTTAAAAAAAAGAATGTATTTCAGATTGAGTCCCTAACTCTGGCTAGAATAAGAGGATAATGCAGAAAAATGTTCTCAGTTCAAAATAAACATTACCACGACTTCCTTCCATGACAATAAAAAATACATTAAGGGATGCTGCTTCTGACCTATGCTGAACATAGCTGAAAGCCACTGGCACTGCCTGCAAAGGCTCAGGTTGGTGCTATTTAAATCATGCTAAATGTTATTTCTGGAACTTTGAAATTGGTCTGATGAAATCCATCCAGCATATAACCATATTTTATGGTTAGAATTTGATTAGAAGCTTAAGAGACAGCTAATGGGGAGTCAAATTACCTCGACACTTCAAAGCATCTTTCTAAAATGAAATTAAAAATATTATAGGGTGAGAGGTTTTTTAAAAATATAATAGCCGCTCTTTTTGTGGTGAATGATTCACTGTTGTCTTTCTAAGACTTATTACTCCCCTCAATCATCTGCCTGTTTGGAACCTTTTGTTTATCTTAAATTCCCTGAAGATAGTTGATTGTCACAGATTAAGAAAGGCACAGGCAGACATTTGGGTAAGGGCTGGTAATTCATCGATTTCTGCATATCAGTTTCATAAATATGCACTGTGCTTCAACCACCCCATTTTCGGCTTTGTTCTCATGGGGATGGAGGGTTGGAATTGAAAATATCTCCAGCTTTGGGGATGAGAGGTACCTGTGCACTGGGGTGTTTGTTACCTCTGTAAACCAAGAATTAGTGATTTTTGCCCTTTGCTAAAATTCAATTCTTAGTTGCAATTAAAAGTCAGCATCAACAATGCTGTTACAACTCAAACCTCTGAGCATTTTGAAAATGACAATTTCATCCTTGAGAATTCAAGAGAATTTTGTCTGCTTAGATGGAGCAAGTGCAGAGGGGTCCAGAGCCACTCTTTAGTTCTGTGTTTCTTCAGGCATCCTCCAAATTGTGGATCCTTTTAATTTTTTGTAATCAAGTCCCGCCATCAAACATTTGTGTACCACTACAGAGCGTGCATGCATCTCTTTTTTTTTTTTCCTTTTCCATTTTTTTCTCCCTTTTGAGGCCTCCTGTGTGTTTTTTATTTGTTTGGTTGGGTTTTTCTGTACATGCTGTCATTAAGACCGAAATTATCTGCAGCTCTCGTGAGCTGTTTGCCAACCTGCCCCGTTGGGTGACCTGTGAAGAGAGGATTCCTCCACATGGGGCTCACGCCTTCTCCTGGCAGAGGAAACCAGTGAAATGCAAACTCTCCCTGTTGTTCTGGAGCTTCCAAAACCATGATGAGTAAGGTTTGGCTGGGTCCTTGGCACCCAGCTGGTGTGCTGTGGCTGGAGGATGGAGCTGGAGAGCTGAACGTGTGCCACCAGCCCGACCGCCAGCTCCACGCCTCGGTTGGTCGTGTTGTGGCTCTGGCAATTTGCTCAGAGCTGAGCCCAGAGAAGAAAACCCTCACCATCACAAGGCTGGGCCAGCTTCCATCTCTCCTCCTCAGGGCTCTGGAAAGAGGAGTGAGAGTAGCAGAGCTCTGGGTGAGACCCAGCGCCACAAACTGATGAGCAGCACTTAAAGCCTGAGTGACTGCTAAAGTATCCCCGTCCTCAGAGCTCCCCTTCATTTATCAGAGGTAAAGTGGGGGTATTTTATCAAAATTCAGACACTTTTAATAGCAGCTGCTGAGGATAAAACAGGACAGCTATAAATGCAAAGCCAAATCAATAAAATTGTTTTATTCCTGGATTGAAATTTAATGATCAAGTAAGTTAAATCATTCAATGAGTTAACAAGGACATTGGCCTTTTAATTCCCATGGTGAGGTAAGGGGATGGAAATTTCTGTAATTAGAAGGCAATGTAGAATACTTTCACCCAAGACCAATCCTTAAGTGGAAGGCTGTAAAAATATTTAAATATTGCAACTAGGGAAATTTAGCCTTAAAAATAACTGCAACGTTCCTGCTTTGGCCTATAGTTATTGTGTGCTGGTCTATGAGCATGGGCTGAGAGCCTTGGGATTGTTCAGCCTGGAGAAGAGACAGCTCCAGGGGGACCTTAGAGCACCTTCCAGTACCTAAAGGAGATACAAGAGAGATGGAGACAGCTTTTTACAAGGGCATGTAGTGATAGGACAAGCAGAAATGACTTTAAACTGATGAAGGGCAGGGCTAGATTAGGTATGGGCAAGGAATTCTGTTCTGTGATGAGGGTGATGAGGCACTGGAGCAGGCTGCCCAAAAAGTTGTGTGTGGAGGTGTTCAAGGCCAGGCTGGAGGGGCTTTGAACAGCCTGATCTCATGGAAGGAGCTCCTGTTGCAAGGGGCTTGGGCCCAGATGATCTTCAAGGTCCCTTCTGAACCATTTTGTGAATTTTCTTCTCTACATCCTGACAGGTGGTACCTTGAGCTGTCATGGGTTGTAGGAGACTATGGTGCAGGTGTCTGCTGGTGGCTGGATTTATCCTGCAGAGGACTTCTTGCCCTTGGCTCAATGTCTGCTAAAATGCACTTCCTACTTTTTAAAATTATTTATTGCTTTGCTCTTTAAATTGTTAGTGTTCTAGTCACAGCAGACTCCTTCATTTGGCATTTCTTACTTAAAGGGTGGCACAGGGTCTGCACTCTGGTACCTGTGCAGTCTGTCCTGGATCTCAGGTGTGAATACTTCTGCCAGTGATTGTTACAGCCTTTGTATTACACCTGTTCTCATTTCTCCAAAAATAGAGTTTGGAACCCATGCAGAATGTTTTCATTAAGATTTTTGTCTTTTGTTCTTTTTGGGCTTTTGGTTTGCTTGTTTGCTTGGGGTTTTTTTTTGTTGCTAAAAACCAAGAGATCATTTTAAAAGGATAAATACATTTTGAAGAGTAAAATTAGGCAAATCTGTGAAATTAGCTGGGTTGTGTTTTTATTTCGGTGTTTTCCTCTCTGACTCGTTTCACAATGGTGAAATGACTTCAATTCTACAATCATGCCTGATGCCCAAGAACCTAAGGGCTCATAAATATCTTTAACAGGCCTCTGTGGTAAAACTGATTTCATTTAGCTTCTGAACAGTTTTTTTTTTCCATTTATATGCTGCCTGCAGGAGGAAACTAATGCCCCAACCCATTGGAGAAAGTCTAGAAGTTTCACTGGGGTTCCCTCCCACATCCACGTTGGGCTGTGTGTCCCCTCTGGACAGGCTGTTCCTCAGCTTGGTGTAGCAGATCTTTTTACAGGATTTTTCACTTTAACAGGATTCTTTCTGCCCAGCCATTAGCAAAATATCGCCACTCACTCAAAATTGTTCATCTCCCATGTAAGCAGCAAAATAAAGGCTTAGATTTTCTATTTTACTTTTTCCCCCTGAAATTTCCAGTGCAAGTCGCAGCATATTTGTGAACTGTGATCCCTTAAAATACCTAATACCTCCTTTGATGTCCATATTCCAAAGCACAGCACACAAGAGAAAACCCAGATCTCTCTCTGAGTCCTTGCCTACCCTGCTAAACTGTCTGGAGTCGCTTTCCACTCTGAAATATTATCTCATGTGCTGTTCCTTTAAAACAGGGGGAATAAAAAGGATTTCATAGTTGGCACAAATGCATGCTGAGAGCAAGATATGGGATGAAAGGCTCGTGGAGCCAGAATTCAGTCAGCCTGTGAGGGCACTGCCAGTGTTTGACATGCAGAAGAGGCATTGCAGACCATTTCACACCCAGCACTACCAGGAGAAATATAATTGAGGTTTTCTTTGATGAGAATAACATTTGTTTTTTTCCTTACAGTTCTTTCATTAAAAAAATCAGTGTTTCCAACCCTTGGCTAAGAAATGTAACAGTGTCTTTTAAGATGTTTTATTTTTCCCCTACTCAAATGTAGAAATTCTTTAAATATCATGGTAACATTGTGAAAGTAAATATTAGGAGACTTTGTAGGTGGCATGAAAGAAAAAATTATTTTCAGAGACACACCTTTGAGGGTTTCTAACCTGCTTTAAAAGGTGAGAGGACAGAGAAAGATGCTGGGTCTATAGAGATGCATCAAAAATCAGTTTTATAAGTTACCTTTCCTTTTTGTTGACCTAGTTTTGCAGGTTTTTGAGAATGAAGGTATTTGGAATATTTGGAATACAGTCTAAATGTGTAATTTTAAAAGATGATTACTGAAAGACAGTGTTTTCTGATTATATAGTGTGGGATTTATATTGCCAAATTCCAACCTGAATGTAGGTGGTAGGTCTGAAATAATCATGTAAATCCTGTAGGGCTCTTTCTCTGGGCAGGAGATGGAGTGTGACTCATCCCATGTGTTTTAATGTGTTTTTAACTTTCACTGCTGTTTGTGGAGGAGCTTCTCTGGCTGAACCAGATAATTCTTGTTTAGAAGGCCAAAGTTCCATCATTGGACTCCATTTATTTTTGGTCAAAATGCCATTGTCTTGGTAGTGATCAGCCTTTCCAAAACTTAATTGTTATTGCTCTGATTTTATCTTTATTCCTGTGCATTGCTCCAAAGCATCATTGTAAAAAACATAACTGGAAAAAAAAATCACAAGCAAACAATAAACCAAAAACCAATAGGAAAACAAAACCCCCACCCATGATGTGCTGAAGAAAAGTTTGGTGATGAAATTCAGAATTACTGTGGGCAAGCTGCTTAATTTTGTGACTTTGTGGGTTGGGCGTGGTGTTCCTCTGGATCAGTCTGCTTTTTCAGAACTGTTTGAGGCCTTTGTTGCTGTGTTGGAAAGTTACAGAACCTGGGGGTTTTGTGAAGAATTTTCTTTTCATCTCTTGGAGGGTGAAGGGAAGAGGTTGAAATACAGATTGCTCACAGGCAGCTTCACCGCAGCACACACTGCTCTGAGGATTCTTTCTGAATCTTTGAAATACTTTTTCTCCTGCAGAAAGTGAAAATATTCAGGTCTTTTTCCCATGATCCAAAGCAGCTGTTGAGTCTCACATAATCACAACAGATCTGCTTTGCCAGCAGGTTACAAATGTCACAGAGACAGTGTTGAATACGTTTTATTTTAATTAGACTTCATTTTGTCTCTGAGCTCATTTCCAGGTTTTCTTCCACATTCAAAGCACTGTAAATTCTCAAATAAATACAATAAATTATTGTTGATGCCACAAAAAGCTTCCTGTTGACTGGCACACAGTGCAGGTATTTAATTTCTGATTTTGTTTTGTTTTTCAATTTGGTGGTGTTTTACGGATGTTACAGAAAATATTTATTCTTCTCTGTTACAGGCTTATAGATTTTCTCAGCTTCCTGAGATGGTAATGGGCTCTCCTCCCCCTCCTGTCCCTCCCAGAACGGGTCCTGTGGCTGTTGCTTCTCTCAGGAGGTATTTATCTGTTATTTTATTTTAGGCACAGTCTCTAAAACCCACTATCCTAATAAGAACCAGGGCAAACCCTGAAGGGCCACTTACAAGGCACTTAGAAAGATACATTCATGAAATTAGAAATATGTAGGTTTAATTTCATTTTAACACAAAACGAAATAACAATGAATTTTCTGTGAATAGTCTGTGTCAATAAAAATAGGAAATGCAGGCTCTTAATTCTTTTAAATAATCCTTTGCCTCAGCTGGAATAATGGTGTGCTGGATTGAGGCAGTTAGTTCACATCATCATTCTCCTGCTTTCCTGTGTTGTAAGGACTTGCAACATTTCCAAAGACATTCCAGGACATTTCCAAAGACATTTCCCAAGTTAGCACTTTCTAAGTGCAGTTAATGTTATTTACCATGGTGGTCTCCCACTGTGTGATACCACATCATGTGCACTCTTGTGATTGTGACTGTGTTGGTGAATTATGGTAAAATTCTGGTAAATTCTGAATTTTGGTAAAGCTCTGGTTTTAATGTTGTGTTTGTTTGAAGCAGCAAGCAAAGCCCCTACATGCTTTGGTAAAATAGCAACCAGGCTAAAAGGGTTTTTTGTAAACTTCTCCAGGCTTCTCCAAACTTCTCCTGTTGTCCAGTTGTTCTCCAGCCTTCTGTCATGCCACAGCAGAGTTGGACAGCTTGCTCCTCGCTGGCTTGTCCTGCTGGAGCTGACAGGCCTCTGTGTGGCTACAAATCTCATCTGTAGGTCAGCATGACAACAATTTCTGTTTTTTTGGTTTCTTAACGCACAGGTCCACGTCAGATATCGGCAGCAAAGTGAGAATACCTGAGTCCAGTGGAGCAGAGCAGGCCCAGCACCACGATCAGACGCCTTTCGCGCCGGGTTCGAGAGCTCCCATGTCTGTTGGGCCGCTCGATCAATCGGCTTTTCACTCAGGTGACACAATAATTCACACTCCACTCAGAGCTTTGACAGCCTCATGAGCTGGTTTGGCTATAAATGAATGGGTGGGATATAGAAAATAAGGATGATTTGTAATTTTTCTCTGTTTTGATGCTGTACTTCTCGAAACTGGATTTCTCGGTCTCCTCTGGGCCCAGCTCCTTCGGGATATCCCTCACAGGGAGTTCCATTTATCTCAGTTCTCTGGGTCAGAAGAAAACTCCAAAGGTCATTAGTATTTTGTTTCTTGTGATTATTAGGATGTTGGCAGGCCTTCCCAGACCTTCTGCACAAGTTTAATTCCTTAATAACCATAACCTGGCTCACTTTGGCTCTGAAGGCACAAAACGGCCCTGAACCACGAGGCTGTTTCATCTTTATATCCATTTTTACCCCATTAACAATAAACATGTCATGTTTTTATATATTAACAAATAAGTTATGTAACTAAAACTGCAACTAACTTTCAACCAATCACTCTTTGTGCTCCTAAAAACTGCAGAATCATGGAGAAGAAGGAAGAAGGAGAGCTAAGAACCACACCTTTCTTCCTCCATCTTTACTCCATGTATTAAACACTCTAAAATCTATATTTTTTACTTCAGTGACATACTAAACATTCTACTACCTTCTACTTAATTTTTTATAAATCCTGGTTTACCCAGGGGTATTTGGAAGCCTTTCTAATCAGTGACAGACAAGATTAATATCTTTTTGGAGAAGAGGACAAACAGAGAAATGTTTCTCCATTTCTGGATTCCTACAATGATTTTTTTTTTTGGAGAAAGACTGTGTTAGGTGGGGTTTTTCCTGGTGCTAAGGAAAAACCTTACACAGGGGATTAACCTTACTCCAGGGGATGGGATACTCATCCTGCAGAAGCACCAGGAAATGGCTTTTTCTGCAGGTAGGATCCAGCAGTAACATCCCAAATGTTCTGTGTTCAAGGGTGACATTCTGCTGGCACACTGATCAGGACTCTGCACTGATAAAACCCAGTGAAACTCTTCACCTGCACCACAAAAACGCAGTAGAATTTTAGGGAGAATATTTAGTAGAATTTTTAGGGTGGCAAAATGAGTTGCAGTATTTGGACTGCTCTGTGACTTGTTTGTGTTGCACTTTGCACCAACCAAGCAAACAAAAAATATTTAAAAAGATAAGTTAAATAAAAAGATAAAAAAATAAATTCAATTAAAGATAAATTAAGATAAAAATAAATTTAAAAAAAGATAATGGGGGAGAAATGAGTTGGATCCTTCCAATATTTTGTCAGTCAAGAATATTGGTCCAAGTGCTTGAAATCTTTTTTAAGGCTCTCTATTTTCTCTTGAGAAACATCACCCCTACTCTTATCACAACAGTGGGCTTCTGAGGAGGGGAAATTGAAGGTGCATGGCCCCTTCAAACACAAGGCAGTGGTGGTATTGCACAGTCAAAGGTAATCTGTTAGCTCTTCACCCCTCCTGGACAATACAGTTCTAGCTCAGAACTTGTTTTGGGTCTAAAAGACCCAGTTTTAAAGGCCTAGTCAGTTCCTGGTCCTTTTGATATAAGTTGTATTTATAAATTAATTGATTTAATCATGAGATGAAGCTGATGTATTGTTTTGATGGTGCCTGGGTAATATTTAGCTGGAAAAAAATATTTCAAATTAGCTCTTATTGGCAAAATGTTCTTGAAGAGTTGTGGAAAAAAGCTTACAATATTCAAAAGAATTTTCCATTAGTTCAAAGCTTTGAAATTAGTAGGTTTGTTAGACATTGTTCTGTTAATCTGCCAGAAAAAAAATATTTCTTGGCTTCCTCAGAAGTAATAGAGAGTTATTTGTGTTGTTTTTGACATCATCTACTGAGAATCATAATGTGGCTAAGCAAAAGTGTTGTCAATTAATTAAATACAGTGGGTTTGAAGGATCCATTCTACTCTCACTTATTGTCAGACCTTCTGCAAATGGTGCAGGACCTGAATGGAGCAGATGCTCACCCCCCCATTTCAAAGCATTTCAAGCTATAAAATATGCCACACTACCTAGACCTCTCCTCTAAGTGCAATAATGTGGTCTGTGGGATGCACTTTTTTATTGGACCCAGTGCTGGGGAGATTTTATTGCTGTGTGCTGCTCTGAAGAGTGGCTGCAGTTCAGAAGAGACAAAATGACCTTCCTGAACATTGTGGAGTTTGCCAGAATAATTCTGGGAGCAGTTGAAGGAAACTTTCTTATATGAAAGGTTCTACAAAAGGCTGTAATACAGGCAAGTAAAGACAAGGAAAATTGTGAAAAATGTACAATTATAATAGAAGGTTTCTAACGTTCTGATGTGAAAATAACTTTTTATAGCCTCAATACGTGAAGAAACATTGCTGCAGGTGCTGGTTTGGAATGTTAATGCCCAATGTCACTCTCATGCAGCCCAGCATCAGCTCTAAGATAAGGATGTTGCAATAATAATTTAGGATAAGGTATTACCTCAGCCAATTGAATATTCATTTTTGAGTAGTAGCTCCTTTTGCTGTGGTTAAATTCAAAGAGTGTTTTGGGGTAGAAGCCGTTTACAGGAGCAGCACTTTCTTCTCTGTACATGTGTGAAGAATGTTCATTTTCACCCTTGCTAATTCCTTTAAAATAGCAACCCTTGTGCTGTTTATGACCTGGAAGGACAAATGCCTGACCACACCTCTCTCTTAGCCCACCCTCTTCCAAACCATGGGGCTGGAGGAATTGGGATAGAGGTGGTGTGTTTCTGCTCTGGAGAAAAATGTGCTACAAACCATATTTTACTGCTCTTTTCATGCCCTGATTGATCCATAGCCATTGTGTACTGGGGCTGGGTGGGAGGTCATTGAGAACCTGTAAATATCTGGGTTTATGGAGGTTGCTCTGGGGGTGGATGTCACTGGTGGAGTCTCTCTATCTCTGTGCACGTGCCCATGCAATGTCCCAGCACCTGTCAGTCTGAATCTCGGTGATTTTGTCAGCATAGTGGTATCATAGCTACTGAGAGCAATTAGTAGGAATATTCAAATGGTGTGCAGTTGGAAGGGGGAGAAATTTTATTTTCTCTGCATTGATTTTAGTACAGAGAATCTGCCCAGCTGTGTGATGTAACTCTGCTTCCATTCCTCAGTGAAAATGTTGGAGTTGTGTTTTGTTGTGTTTTTAAAGGGTTAACTGCCCTTCTGCTTTCATTTAAGTGATGCTATTTTTGCTATATTCTGTGAATTTGAGAAGTAAAATACGAGTTCATGTAGTATAACTGAATAAACTAAAAACCTAATAACTGATAAAGATGATATGCAGCCATCCCATCTGGGATTTAGGGATGAGGATTTCATGCCCCCGGTGTGATGTTGGTGATTCACTTCTAGAATCTGTCTTTGCATGCAAATAGACACTGAAGGAAGGAAGACTCAACTGGGCAAAAAAGTTGTTTGTATTCTATTTTTAACTAAAAGGCAAATGCACGGAGTTCTGACTGCAAATCTTGAGGGAAAGATGGCTCCTTCCACACAACTTGGAGTGTGACAGTGGGATTTTCATCCAGGAGGATTCCTGGGTATTCCTATGCATGCATCTTAATCAAGAGGTGATAAACCAGATTTGGAATCAGCAAATATTTGTTTAAGTTGTAGCTACATAATTTATGGCAGTCATAGATTGTTCTTGGGAGAGGAACTGAGCAGGCAGAACCTTGGTAATGTTTTGCAGAAGCATTGAAGTTTAATGATGGAATTGTTGAGAGTGCAGCCTATTAAACATATCAGTCACTTGTTTTTGCAGGGTTTTTGCTTAGAGATATTAAGAAATACTGGGTAAACTGTGAAAACAAAGGTGCATTACACTGAAACCCATGGTAACAGCAGCTGAAAATTGAGTACAAGGAAGAAACTTAAGGGGAAAAGTGCCTTTTTTTCTAATGATTCAAAGTTTTGATGAAGATCATTGTTACAAGGATCAAGTCCTAGGGACTCTTTATCTGAAGGCTGTGCATGGTTATGAGGACAACTGCAAATCTTACCTTCTCCAGTATTTCCCAGCATTATGAAGATGCTCTAGTCAGGTGGTGGGACAAAAAAAACCCCAAAACAAACCCAAAGCCCCAAACAAAAAGACAAGCAAACATTAAGTCCATATTACATAAGCGCTATATTCTGATTTACAACTGAAAATCTCAGCTATTAATGAAGCCTATTCTTTTTTTATTTGACAGGAAATACGGTACCAGCAGTGTTTGCCATTCCAGCCAACAGACCTGGCTTCACTGGCTATTTCATCCCAACTCCTCCCACTGCCTACAGGAACCAAGCCTGGATGCCCTATGCTGGAGAGAATGAGTTGCCAGGGCAGTGGGCAGACTCTGTAAGCATCCTTGCTTCTCTAACCACCCGTGTTTTCTGTGTTTTGCACAGGAAGGGTTTTCAGCAATTCTTCACTGGCCTACAAAGAAGCCAAAAGGGATAATTTTTTAATTTTTCCTTGAATGGGAATAATGTCTAGTAGTGGAAAGCCACAAGAGATGGCATAGATACTTCAGCTGTTCATAACATGAGCTGTAACAAGGTCTTTAGAAGGTGGAATCACTCACTAGGTTAGGGCCTGGCACCTGTTTAAATTTGGTGAGTTAGATGTCATTTCTGTTTGCTGAGAAAGCTTAAATTTTTGGATAGACAGGTGTCAGGAGAAGGTGATGCTGCCTCACAAGGCAGCCTTGAGCTGTTTGAAAGTTGGGGAAGCATCTTACCCTCCTGGAGGCTTCTCTCAAGACAGCCTGGCTCCCAAAATCTTACCTCCCAGCCCTGCTGTGCAGAGTTTCAAATCCTCCTGAAGGCTGGAGTGACAGATCATAAATTAAATAATTAATTGCACAATGCCAGACTGGAACAGATGTAATTTTTTAGCCCAAAGTAAACCTACATTTCAAAGAATCGGAGTTGAAACATCCTGAAATGAATTGCAGTAGTTTATCATGTTTGAGACAATTTCTCAAATGTGTAGGGCTCTTTTTACACTAGGGAAAAAAAGATCAATTCTTCAGCTTGAGCTCACATCTGATATTTATGCAGAACCATTCTGGCTAAAAAAAACCTGGGAGATAGATTCAATTTCCTCATACAAATCATCAACAGAACATTTTAATGAATTACAGTTGAAATCTAAGTTGTCTTTGAGCAGCTTAGCAAGAGACAACACAGTCATTATAAATGTTCCTGGGGGCAGCTTTTTGTTGTTCACTCTTTATTGCTGCTCCCAGTGCCTGTGTAGAAAAGAATTCAGTATGACTTTGAGATGCAAGTCTGAATTTGAAGGCTGAACTGTCAGAAAAAACAGCTGCTCATTCGTAAGCTGAGCACACCTGCTGATGTGCCCCTGACACCTGGAGGCTTGTGATGTTCTGGTATAAATTTTCTTCTCAGAGCTGCCTTTTAAAGCATGAAAAGCTTTATTTTCCTTCGTTGTTGATTTTTTTTGGTGTTTGTTTTTTGTTTATTTATTTGTTTTATGTGTGGTTTTAACCCTTCTGGCATCATAAATTCAGGAGGCCCCATTTTATCTTAACAATGATTTTAAACTTTTTCTCTAAGAAGGAAAAAAGCCATGAAACAAATAAGGAAATTTGAATTGTCTTCCATTCATTCTCCCTTTGGTATCTCCACTCTTGACTGCAGCCCTGTGGAAAAAGTCAGGTATCAATTGTCAAAAGTGGAGATTGAAACAAACTGCAAACCAAGTCTCCAGCCCCCAGCTCCTTCCTCTGGAAGAATTTAACCCTGGTGTGGGTTTCCTTGTCTTCAGGGAAAGAGGAATGAAGAGGGATGTAAGAATCTGTCTGAAAAATAACCCTGGCAATATAGAATTCAAAGGAAACAAATGTCCCTTTTAACTTCACTCACCCATGGCAGGTTGTTACTTTTCAGCCCTCCAGTGGCATTGCAGAAGAGGTAAAAATTTAGGAACTACTGCAGTTTCTACAATGAGTTTGCAAATCTGTCAAGAAATTCTCTTTATTTGAAAATCATTACTGGAGGAGCTGGCAACAGCATTAGCAGCATAGCACAGCCAGGAAGGCTGAATAAAATTGAACAGCATAAAAATCTGAAGTAATACTCAGGTTCTCTCAGTAATTCTCAGGGCTTGAATTTCTGGATGTGTCCTGGTTTCTGAGCCTCTAGATTATGTCTTGATCCCACTTCCAAGATTTTCTTACAATTATTGAGAACAGAGGCTTAATATATATAAGATTCTTTATTTTTCACACATTTCTGCTAAGCCACTAAACAACGTTTACTGTTTATCCTACTAAACAAGGGAGTAGAGGAAACAGGAGATTTGACAACAAGGAATTGTTTTATAAACTCAATTCCTGTAATACATTATTCTCTGAGACAAATGGGAAGGATTGAAACACTAATTTCAATAAACACAAACGGTGTTTATTGGAACACTTTTGTGGAACAAGGCAACTGTATCCACAAAGCATTTATTACCCAAACTGCTGGATTCTGCTCAGTGAAAACAGTAACTTGGTGGCCTCTAGTGGCGTGTTCACATGTTGTTCTGGTAAAATCACCTTTTGAAGAGCCTGTTGTAAAATAAAACAGAGGTGACTACATCTAATGATCATTTTCATATCATACCTGCTTCCTCCCTTTGTCTCATCACAAACATGTTTGATATTCTCTTCAGAATTTGATGGATAGCCAAGGCTGTGCAGAGGATGTGTAAATCCTGATGGTCAGGCTTCAGGAATAAACCCTTCTTCAATATTAAGGCCTGTAGATTCCTGTTTTATAGACTTTTGGAAATCATAAATGCTATTTTTTTATTGGATGCATTAAAATCTTCTGAGTGCCAAAAAAGATTGGTATCGTGGTTCATGGAATTGTGAAATTCATGGATTTGTGAAAGAAATTTAATCCATTCATGGATTTGTGAATGAAATTTAATCTCTCACGGTGACTAAAGGGCTGACATTATTTAGTTGTAGCTGGTGTAACACGGGGCTGAAATCTGTGAAGTTACAAAAATTAAGTAATTCTGTTAAACATGGCCAGAAATCCTGACACTTCTGAGCATTCAAACATCCCTTTGAGTCTTGAGTTTGCAAATTGGCTCACCTGAGCTTATCCCTGTTGTCTGGATCTGGGGAGTTTCTGTTCGGGGCAGTGAGACCAGACACTTGGCTGGCTTGGATTCGACAGCGACTACAACTCAGAAAACTCTGCTTTTCTGCTCTAGGCTTTTTAGTGTACCAAAACCATGCTGTTTGTTCAAAACCAAGGTGTTTGCTAAGCAGGGATCACACCTTCATAAAAACCTTTTCCCTTTTGGAGGTGATGATAAACGAGGACAAGCAGATGTTTTTGCTGCCACAGCTGGGACATTGACACGTGCACACATGGCACACGCCAGGAGAGGCATTTGTGAACAGAAGCTGGGAATTCTGAGGTTTGCATTCCCTTCTTCTGTGCCTCTCTGTCCCAGCTGGCAGCTCCCTGGGGAGCTCTGTGGTTCATGGCTGTCGTTCTAATTGGGAACGGCGGGAAAGAACGACACGGACTCTCAAGGGAGTCACAACACGAGAATTCCTCTAGTTTATTGCTCTAGGCTTGTCTTATAGACAGATACATAGAAAGTACAGAAAGGAAACTCTTATTGGTTAGCAAAGTGGCACATCACCATCACTGGTCAGGGGGGCTCACCACCCCCCTGACTTTCTCCTGCAATAAAAACATAGGACAGACAAACAGCACCTGGCAGTTGTTTTCTGTCTCTGAGGATTGTTTTGAAATCCTCCTATGAATTTTCTCAGGCTAGCTTCTCAGGCAGGACTGAGAGGCCACGGGCCTGCAGTTTCTGCAGCTCCCTGCAGCCTGTTCCAAAGCTAGCATCCATACACGGCAGGTGGCTCGGCGGTTCCGAATAACCCCGTGCAATTCTCCGCAGGTCCCGCTTCCCGGCTACATCGAGGCGTACCCGAGGCCCCGCTACCAGCACAGCTCCCCGTCCCGCCTGCCCCGGCAGTACAGCCAGCAGGGCAGCCTGCACCCCAGCCTGGAGCAGGCTCCCCTGGCCTCCGCCGCCGCCTCCCAGCAGAGCCTGGCCGACAACGAGCCCTCCGACGCGCCGCTCACCAACATCTCCACGGCCGCCCTCGTCAAGGCAATAAGGGAAGAAGTGGCCAAGCTGGCCAAGAAGCAAACAGATATGTTTGAGTTTCAGGTGTAATGTATCTCCTGTGCACAGTGTTTGTATCTTGCGACCTGGGGTAGCCAAGAAAGAGACTCCTTTAATTTTCAGCTACAATTGTGCCAAAGCGATGGCATTTTAATCTGTCTGAAAAGTCAACGCTACAAAATGACTTCAAGCAGAGCAACAGGACTCTGAAGATGTGAAATTTCTGCTTTCCAGCTAAGGAAAAGCTGCCAGAAAACTGTTTCATACTGCTGAGATCAGCCATATGCAATTGTTTGTCACTTCGCTCTGGTATTATGACCCATCATCACTAAGATGCTGCTGAACGTGTCTGCGCCACAAGAAGTTTCATTTGCAGGCCCAGAGGTAAAGCTGCTGAAAATAACTTCTGCATGCCAAAACTTTGATTCAAGAAGAAAAAAAACCTGCAGAACAGGGTTTGCTGAAGGCCATGACTGGCGTGGCAGTGGCCACGTTAATTGTTTGCTGTGGGACATTGTGTAAGGGGTGCTGATTTCAGCAATGCAGAGTCATTTCAGCCTTTTCATCCCAGAGACTGTATTCAAACCAAAAGAAATCAACATGATTAAGTAATACAAATAAAAGTCCTGTAAATAGCTCTGAGTCTCTTCATCCTATTCACAGTACAAAGAAGTGAGAGAAGAGGGGACTGTGAAGAGGGTGAATGACATTTCAATAATTGGTGGATACCTTGTCCCTCAGTGCTGCTGCTGAGTTACGGAGGAGATTTTTATTTTCAGCGTGAGAGAACACAATGCATGAAGAGCCAGCAAAGGATATTGGTGCTAAAAGCTTCCAAGAGCAATGAAAAAAGGTTATTCGTGTTCGCTCTATAATGGGGCTTTTCACTCTGAATGCATGTGAAGCTGGTAAACCTGAGACCTTTAAATCCTTGCAGCCTGGAAAAATGAATACACCTGCTTGGACAAGGAAACCTCTGCTCAACACAGTGCTTTTTTTTTTTTCTCTTTCTTTAACAATGCTATCTACTAAAGTGGTGCCAGAAAGTGCTCCCTGAAGCTGCAGCTGATTTTGATTACGCTGGCACGGTGAATGCGCACCCGGGAAGTTCTGAATGTAGAGGACCTGATTCCTATATTAACATGTAAATAAGTTAACAGTTAACAAAAATACTAATGTTCTGTGAAAAAAGAGAGCATTGCCAGAAATGATGTTGACTTTATATTGTGCAAGATAAAGGTCACTGATTGTTAGCACTGCGTTGTGGTAGGGATCCAACCCCAAAAGAAAACCAAACCACTTGGATGGGACAGTAGTTAATATTTTGCAGTCGTACAAACTAGTTGGAGATCATGAACAATTGTTTTCAGTTCCTTCAGCCATTAGCTTCAGGAACTGAAGTTGTTGCAAAATTTGTTGTGTTGGGCGTGTTTGATGTCAGCTGGAGTTAAAGGTAATGTCCTTCATTTCAGTGGGTTATTTAGTTATCCTCGATTACTGTTTTGTCTGATCATTTCATTTCCCTGAGTTTCTTTGGTCTTAACTGATGTGAGAAAGGGAACTTGGTTTAGCTTTTTTGGCCATCAGTAAATTGAGAGAAGGAGAGAGAAGACTAGACTAGGGGATAGAAGAAGCAATTGATGAAGCACAAACTTTTAAAGCAGAGCTATTTTCCCCCCTAATAATTACATTACAAACCCTGACTGAGACTGTGATGCGTAATTATCCTAGAATATACAGACATCTTCTGCTCCAATACCTTGAATATTGCAGAAGCGTTTGGAATGCTAGTTAATCTTTCAATAAATGTGAAATTTCGTTTTTATTATTTAAAATCAGATATAAATAAAATGTATTTTTGTAATTTCTATGTATATATGTGCTGTATATTTATATAAGTGATTAGTCTGCTATAGTCAGAAAATTTCCATAAACTAAGTGGAAAAAGTAAAAAAAAGAAAGGAAGAAAAAAACCCCTGGTGATTTTACTGATCAATATAAACCTGCTATGTCTGGAGTACACAAATATACAATTGAGTGACTTGGATACTAAACAACCAAAGAAACTCAATTTTTCATATAAATACAAGTCTAGTAAAGGCTGGCTGCTGTCTCGGTTTCCTGCCAGCCAGATAATACTGATATTATCAGTGTAATACAACACAGCCAAATTGGGTCGAATTATTAGCTGGCTAAGAGCACCAAAATTTAGAATAACAACTGAAAAATACTGGGCCAAACTCAGAAAGGAAATCCTGGTTCTGGTGGGCTTCAGTGGGAATTTCCTTCACTGAGAGCAAGGCTGAGTTTCTCTACTGGGCTTTGTCTATAAAAGCAAATTTCACTAGACCCCCTTGAGCAGAATTCTGATTATTTTGCAGTCATTTGGATCACTGTAACACAAATGCAGACATAATGGAAGAGCAGCTGAGTTTTATTTAGCCTGAGCTGGCTTGACCTAACCTGGGAAGCGAAACCTACACCAGGTGGTGTCAGCCACGTTCTGCATCAGCTTCATCATCTCTGTTTTTCAATGATTCTTCTCTGTAGCCCAGTGAAATTTTGCAGGTAAATGGGCCCTTCTAAGCAGTAGGGGTGAAATGTGCTGTGCAATGAATTTCTCTAGTTTAGACTCCAGTTTTTCAGAGTTATCCTGAGGATGAAATTATGGAAGCAGCCAGGATCCCGTGGATGGGCACGCTGAAGCCATAGAGGTGGGAAGGGTAATGTAGCAATGGATTCCCAGAAAAGTCACAGGAAGCAGGGCATTCCAGTTTCAAACAGCATCTTTTGGACACTGAACTCTGTTTTTAAGTCTGTTCCCATTCTTAAATTTTAGCAATTGAATGGTTCCATTGAAAAATGTGTGAGGGTAAAGTCTCATATATCTTACACGATGAATCTTGTATCTTGTCATACTGGAAAAGAAAAATACAGAGATGTCCAGGATTGGATGTCTGTAGAAAACAGAAAACCCACAAACAAAAGCATTTAAATAACCTTCTAGAAAGAAAAACCATTTCAGTAAAGTTAAACAAAGTACTCTTCATACTTCTGAGGAAGACCTGTTAGAGTTTCCAAATTAATTTTGTTTGGTATTACTATGGATGATGTGCAGTCCATTGAATATTTCCTGAACCATCACTCTGAAGCCATTGTGGTGCACTTTATTCAGAAAACCATCTTACATTCTTCATTCATGATGACTTTTTATCCTGTTTGTAATATGTTTCTGTATTTTTTTTTTTTTAAAGTATAAAGCAAGCTTATATCAAGACAGTTAGGACATTCCTGGGAAAGAAAAATCATGCTGTAATATTTATACTGTCTGAGCACAAAGCAATGGTAAAGTGAAAATATAGTGTACAAATAATTTGTAATATAATAAACATTTTGTATGGCTACAATTACAATATAGTTTTTCAATACTGATTTCAAAGAAGGAATTATTTGTGTTATGTAAGTTTTAACCTCGTCCAGATATACCCATGCCATTTTTACTGAGAAATAATTAGTAATTTAGCTTTTTCTACTCAATGCCCCAATTTTCTTTAAAGATGTATTAAATGTTTAGGTGAAAGTGCTGTAATACTCTGTACACAAAATGCTGATATTCTGACCTCTATCTGTCTTCATATTTGTAAATCATCAGTAGAAACAAATGAAACAACATAAAATTCCTTCTTGGAAGGTGTGCACTGACCACTTTCAGCTGGAAAACTACATGTGACATTTATCAGCATCAGTAGGACAGTAACTTTAAAAGGATGGAAAGGGAACTTGTTGGCAGTCATTTCCTGACTTGTTGGCAGTCATTTCTTGACATAATATCTGTATTGAACCTCCAGCACTCAGTCTAGAAATATGAGTAATATTTGTATGTCATAATATAATGGGTAGAACTTGATAGAAGTGCATGCAAACCCTATATATAGAAATGAGGATATTATCTTAAGCAATGATCATTTCTTTTTCAGACTCACTTTGAAAGATGAGACACATAAGAAGCATAAGATCAAAGTGAGAGGCAGGTAGAAAATGCAACATTGTGCTGAGTGGCAGAATTATTTTGTTTAAGGGTTGATATACACCCAGCTGACCACAGTTCTTGTTACATTTCCAGATATCTGACTGTTAAAGAATTAATCTCATTTTTAATTTATGTTTTTTTTAGCCCTGTACTGCCAATGTAAGAGCTGACTGCCAGCTTCTTGAAGTCTGAGGGAGCTTGAAAGCAGCAAGTTTTCTGAGCTGGCAGAAGTCATTGCACTTTTCTGCCCCTGTTCATCCTGTGCACATCCCAGCAGCTCCAAACACTGTGTAAAACCACTTATTGTCCTGGTCTTGCATTTCTTCTACATTAACAAACCCCAGGGGCTTCCCAGCCCTCACTGATGTGAAATGGCAGAGGGATCTTGCATCTCACTCATACCTACTAGAAAATGCTTATGTTTGGCAGCTTTCCCTTCATGGGTTAATTTTTAACTCCAGGAATGAGTAACAGATTTATTCTTTGTTTATCAAAAATAATTCAAAATTTTTTTTTTGGTTTTTTTTCCACTTTTAAGGATAGTTCTCCTTGAGATTTTTTTTTTTTTTTTAACTTTTGCCTTTCTCTCAGAATAATGCAGAAACTCAGCTTGTGGAAGTGAGATTTATATATAGGTCAGTAAAGAAATTGCATACTGAATTGCTCATTAAAAATCTCACAAGATGCTCAAGTCATAAAGGCAAAGCTGATCAATTCTGCAGAATCTCTACTGAGAACAACTGCATTGCACAAGGTGGTTTAGGTCCTGATTTTAAAAATAGTTGAAATGTCCCCAAATCATATAATATTTCATGCTTTTAAACTCACCTTAAGACCATATTTTTATGAATATTATATCATATTCATGTGTATTTGTGTGTGTGTGTGTGTGTGTGAAAAAATATTTTTTCAGCATTGGTTCTATTTGTCCATCAATTTGTCCCCATTCATTTCAGGTTCCTTAAGGGGTACAGAGACAGTAATGAAGAGAAATCTCAGAGTTGTTCTGTTGTGAAGCTCATGAAAGATGAGAAATGGGCTTTAAATAGTTAAGTGGTCAAGTGTATAGAGGATGTATTGAAAATAATTACAAATATTATGAAGAGGTGCTTCGGGAATTTGATTTATTTTCTTTTTTTTTTTTTTGCATTTTTAAAAATTAATTCTGGTTTTAAGAAGTCTGACTGAATGAATTTTTCACACTGGATTCATACCCAAGGAGTAAGTTGTTACTATATTGCATTCTGTAAATAACTTTGCAACTTTATAAAGGCACATTTACCTTACTGGGCAGCAATGGCTGTAAATGACAAAGAAAGGTGATTCCACTTCATTTATTCCACAATATTTAGAGAGCAGATGAATTTCTCTTCCAAAATATTCCCTCCTCACTGGAGCCCAGAACATTTCTGTGCTGTGCAAACCAGTCTAAACACCATAAAAAACAGAGGCATCTTTTAAAAATCTTTTAAAGTTAATGTCTTGTGGATCTGGCAAGGAGATCTGGATGTAAGTAAGCTTGAAGTTTATTTTTTATCCCTGTCTTTACCTAATTCTCCCCATGCTGTGATGAGGAAAAAAAACCAAACACTTTCTCCTACACCAAACAAATTTTACTATTTCTCTCTATGACAAAGAGACTAGGAAGGATTTTTCATTTCATCTTGGTGTTGACTTCTGCAAGCTGTATTCAAGGTCTTACTTGATAGAAAAAAGACATGAGAGCAAAGCCAAGAATTTTGGAAAATATGATGGAACCCATCTTGCCAAGGCTTAAATTTTGATGCAGGATTTAGCAACCCAAGAGAAACAGCTGGGGCCCAAAAAAATGATCAGTTCTTGGCAGTTCTTTGGGTTTCATCAGAAAGCATGTTTGTCCAGCACAGATATTCCTATGCTTTTTGACTTTTTATTTTCATTTAATGTCTTTCCTGCCATCCTTTTACATTCTGAACCTGAGTTTTACATCGTGTAGGCCAAGAAGTGCACTCTTTACCCCTCTGACAGGCTGCTGGTGTGACAGAACCAACACAAAACAGCATTTTTAAATAGCCATGGCATTGCCACCTTGTGCTTTGTGTGTTCTCCTGTTAGTGCTAAGGCAAAACTATGAAAATGTAGGTAACATTTTCCATTGAAAAATGAAATTTAGGTAACATTTTCCATTGAAAAATGAAATTTAGGTAACATTTTCCACTGAAATTACTGGCAAATTAAAAACCTGCTGCCTTCAAGGAGATCAGGACTGGGCCAGTAACCCCCCAGTAAATTATCCATCACAAGTGTCTTAAAACTGTGCCAAGAGAGGAAGGATGCTGTCTGGTTATGAGTGGCTGGAATTTGGGAGATGGAAGGTCAATTTGCTCTTCTTCAGGATTTTGGGTTGGTCTGAAATGTGGCTGTGCCTCAGTGTCCCACCTGTAGGGCAGGGTGGAGGGACTGTCCACCTTTCCTTTGTCCTCAGTGCCCTGCTGAACCACAAACCCTGGACTGCAGTGGACACTTTTTATCCATTACTTCATGGAGCTTTGGGAATTGTTCAGGACTAAATATTACCTGTTCCTATGGTAGCATCTTAATATTTGTGAATGCACAAGTTAAAAAAAATACACCTCTTGATAATCTCTCAGTATGTTCTAGGAAGCCTTTCCAATAACAGCCTCGACATTTTTTTTACAGAGATTTACAGAATTTGTATCAATAAAACCGTTCTCACTTCCCAGGCAACAGATCTCACTTTCCAAGGAAATGAACTTTTCTTACATCTTTGAATTATGGAAAGGACTAGCTCTGCATGATTACAAATATCCATGTTATCTTTGGTGTTCACAGCTTGATTCAACTGAATTGTAATGGCTGTGTCTGTGAAACTTGCTCAAAATTTATGAGTGTTTCAGCTGTAAGTGGGAAAATTAATTTTCTGAAGCTGCAAAATTGAGAGAAAATTTAAAGCCGAGTCTAGGGATTAATTCAGAGAATAAGAAAATAAACAATTAAAATTCTATACTATGCAATCAGAAGGAAAATCTCCAAGACCTGTTATGTAAAACTACATGCTGATGGTAGAATTTTACATATGACTGAAAAGGAGGGATTTAAAATGTTCTGGGTCATTACCAAATTACAATGTTTTTACTCTGAGCCATAGGGTGATTCTAGAAATAAAGCTTACAAGTACATAGAATAGTTCCTTTCATGTTAGTGGCTATAGCTTAGCTGAAGTTGTACACGTGTTTTCCTTGGCAATTTTGCACATGAAATAAAATATGTCTTAAAATCTGTGTTGCTACTTACTGGTTGTTCCTGCCGTGTCCTCCTCTTTAGATTCTGTTTTTGTGGTTTTTAATATCATTTACTCAGGCCTGAGCTTCGTGCTGTCCTTCTGAAATAAAAGGAAGAGGAAAATGCTGTTGACAGGGCTGCTTTTGTGTAATTTGTGATGCAAGAGATTTGGAATAAAAAGTTCCTTTACTGCTGCTTTGTAGCTTCAGAGGAAAAAAGAGGCAGGAAAGGCTCTTCCAGAAACAGAGGATAAATGAACATTTATATCCATAGTGTACTTACCACTGTTAAGGTTTTAGTCAGATGGCCTAGTTAAGATACAACTCTTTAAATGCATTGATATATTTTATATACATGCTGTGACTGTGAGAACTTAAACTGCCTCAAGGGGTCGTTCTGGCTTTCCTCAAGATACACCAAAATCTGAGCCCATTTCACAAATACGTGTTTTTAGTGTGTAACACAACTCAACGGGCTCGTGCTATTAATAATTTTATATTTCCTTGGAATACTTCCTGATTGACAGCTCCTGACTCGATATCTAGATGTCAGTGACCTTACAAAACTCCACCTGCCAAACAAGCAAAAGAGGATAAATTTCCCAGAACCAAGTGCTGCTCAATTTCCCTGCCTCCCGTTGAGATATTAGCTCTGAATTCTCAGGGCAGGTGAATCTAAAATGCAGCACACGCTGCTGAAAAGAGAAAAATCATTTCATGATGGCTTACTGCTTTTGGATTTCCTTTCTAATCTGTCCCTGAACTAATTAAGGCAGCTTGACTTAATGATTAATTTAAATTCTAATGATCCATTGTAATAAGGCTGAATATCTATTCAGAGAGCTTTAATGTGGCAAGCTCAAACACAGCAGTCTGAAATTTAATGGACCCAACTGTTTGGTATAAAATAATTTCAAGCTGAAATGCATTCTGGTTTTTGAAGAGCTTTGTATCTCATTTTTTTTTTTTTCCCCATCCTAGAGCAGCCAGGGCCATTTGAGGTTTCAGAAGGGAGATCTGGGGGCTCTCCTTGGGGAGCACCTGGCTGTCCCTGCAGGTGCAGATGTGTCTGCTCAGCCCCCAGGCTGGCTGGGAAGGTGTGACACCCTGCTTTCAGAGAGGATTGCTTTGTTTAGGATTGGAAATGGCAGCAACCCACTGATATTTTGAGGTCTCTGCCCATGAATCAAATTTGTAGCCTAAAATTTCTTCCTTGAGTGCAACAGGGATAGATTTGTTGAGTCACAAGGCAGCAGCGAGGTGAAAGAGATCTGAACTGTGCCAGCATCTAAATGTCAGGTTTAGTTTCTCTTGAGCAATCTAAGAGAACAGAAACAATTAAAAAAATGAATGACACATTCCTTGTGAAGAAAACACAGTAAGAATGATGTTCTATTTTGTCTAGTACATGGCTTAATTCTTGCAAAAAAAAAAAAAGATAAACAGAGCAGCTTGGAGATGAAACCATAAACCCTCAGATGAGAGCAAATTACTGGATTTAACAAGGTCAGGGGGAAACAGAACAGAAAATAAAGGTAAATGAAATGTTTAGGGGCCAATGAAAATCAGCATATGTGCCATTATGTATCAATAGCCTGTTTTTTTTCTAAAGGAAGGGTTTTTTTGCCCAAAGCATCCTGCTGGAGGATTGCTGTGGGTGGCACTGGCCAAAGGTAAAATTCTGTTAAATGCCATGATCCAGGTGATTTTTTTCAGGAGACCCCCAGGCGACTTTACCTGAGATTACATATTAATTCATAATTAATAATAAAGTTATTCCTTGTTATCAGCCAGTAATTAAATGCCAAGTGTTGTTCCAGCATAAAGGCCATATGAAAAACAGAAAAACAGATGGAAAATATTTCAACTGTGTGCCATGAAAATTAGCTGTTTAAGCCACGAAAACCCTTGTGAATAATGGCTGGTGAGGGCTGGGTATGAAGTGAAAGGCTTGGTAAAAGCTGAGAAGTAAATGTTAGGAAGCAGAAATTCCATGTAATGGAAATTTTGTAGGCCCTTGCAATAACCTTGGAAAATTTAGGGTGGTTTAGGAACGAAATTGATCTGGAGATTGGGAAAATGAAGCTATTTCATCTGTTACCTAACTAGATTTTAAAGCTCTTATTTCTCCACAAAGCCTTTAAAGGCCTCTGTGTATTTTGTCCAATCCAAATTTGTTTTCTGGTATTTAGTTTGAGCACTAACACAATTCTCATTTTCATAGTAACCAACAATTTCAATTTAGCCATTCACATTTTCACAACAATTAACCATTTTTGCTTAAGGCTTTGAGAAACTTTTTATCCTCTTTCTGCAGAGGGAGCAGTGAAACACTGCAGCCCAGATTTCCAAAGTGTTCTGCTGTTCATTTGTAATCACATTAAAATGTGATAGCTATAGTTTGATGATTGACAAATGAGAGTTTTAATTTTTTAATAATTAAAATATATAATATAATATTCATAACATATTATAATATATAAATATAAATATACAGTATATAATATATAATATATAATATATAATGTATAATATAGAATAGATAACATATAACATATAACATATTATATATAATATAGAATATATTTAATATATAATAAAATATATAATATATAATATATAATATATAATATATAATATATAATATATAATATATAATGTATAATGTATAATGTATAATGTATAATATATAATATATAATATATAACATATATTATATATTATATAATATATAATATAATATATAATATATAATATATAATATATAATATATAATATATAATATATAATATATAATATATAATA